GTTGTCCTTCAGCCACTCCACTTCAGGGGAAGGCTCTCCGGCGATCTCACAGGTGAACCGAACACTCTGGCCCTCGTTTACGTTCTGGGACCTGGGCTGCAGGAGGAAGGCCGGCGCCTCCGAACCAAAGGCTGAGACCTCGGTGATGTCGAGACCTGTTCTCCTCACAGACTGGACCTCTGAGACGGAGATCTGTGAGGACTCCCTCACAGTTGACGAGATTTCCTCATGGATCAGCTCCCTTTTCAAGACTTCTTCTGAAATTTCTGCTTTTGCTCGGGTGTCTAGAGAAGATGTAAAGGTTAGGTTCATGGTAGGAAACACTATTTTGCACAGGTGCCCACACAGATGGAGGCTGTCTTACCTCGGACAGTGACCGAGCAGGTTGTGGACACCGTTCCAGTGCTGTTGGAAGCCGTGCATTTGTAGGTGCCACTATCAGAGACCTCAGACTCATAGATCTCAAGATGAGCTGAGCCATGATCCTCAAATATTTCATACTTCCCACCCTGAGAGAGAACCTGCCAATCAGGAAAATGTGATAAGTTACTAAGCAATGCAATTAAATTGGTTTTCTTTAATGAAAAGGCAGAATGAGTGTGGTGTGAGAATTTGAACAGGTTACCTTTCCATCCTTCATCCAGGAGATGGCAGGTTTGGGTTCTCCTGTTGCCTTCACTGACAGTTTGACAATTGAGTCGGAGGCTGCAGTGGTGTCAATCAGGCCGGACGGGAAAGACGGTTTCCTGTCAGGAGTTGGTGACATCACTCTCTTTGGTGACTTGATTGGAGAAAGCACTCTTTCCTTTTCAGATGGCGTTGGGGATTTGGGAGTAGGAGACTTTGGCGTTGGGGATTTGGGAGTAGGAGATATTGGTGTAGGAGACTTTGGAGTTGGGGACTTTGGCGTTGGGGACTTTGGCGTTGGGGACTTTGGCGTTGGGGACTTTGGAGTTGGAGATGTTGGTGAGGATGGAGACTTTACTGGCTCTGGGGACTTAGCAAGAGGGGATTTAGCTTCTGGAGAAGTTACTCTGGAAACTGCTTTCTCCTTTGACTCAGACTTGCGAATCGTAAGAGTGAAATAGGCCTCCTGTTTTCCTCCAGCGTTTTCCACCAGGAGCGTGTAGCTGCCTTCATCTGACATCTCAACGGCATTGATCTCGAAGCTAGAGCTGTACTGAGTAGAGACTATGTGGTGGCGGGCAGAGGGAGCCACATCTGCCCCCTCGTGCATCCAGCGGATAGAGGGCGCTGGTTCTCCATCAACATCGCACTCAAATCGGACGTTTTCTCCCTCGTCCACAGTCACGGATCGTGGTTTGGTCAGGATAGTGGCAGGAGCGCTTGGCTTCTCACGTGGCTCCGGCTCAGTGACAGAGGTGGTTTCCATCACAGTTTCAGTCACGACTTCCTTCACAGATGTTTTGGAGGAAGACACGTGGTAAACCTCTGTGCGAGTCATCTCTGGCATATAAGCAGATGGAGGTTCCTCCTCTTTGCGGAAGGATGAATAAGCAGCATATTCCTCTCCTGAAACATCCAATGTGGCATAGTCGGAAGTCTCTCCTTTAGCATTCCTACAGACCACACGGTAGGTTCCAGAGTCTTCAGTTACACAGTTGATGATGTGGAGAGTCAGGACACCACTTATGTTGGTCATGTGGTATTTGGTGCTCTGAGAGATCTCTTTTCCATTGTGGAACCACTGAACCTCTGGCTCAGGCTTGGCTTGGATGTTCAGGGTAAACTTCGTGTTGGTGCCATAGGGTACACGATGAGAGCGCATCCTGATGGTTATACGTGGGGCGTGGTCAAGACTGAAGGGGGCCTGAGTGACCACCTCCACCCTCCTCTCCACTGATCTCCTCTCTGATCGGAGAGCCTGCTTCCTCTCCTCATACCTGGACATAAAGTCCACTTTAGGAAAAGAGACATCTGTTTTCACTGCCTTTTCTGGGGACCTCCTCCTTTCAGGCTCAGGTTCAGGGAGCTTCTTGATGGGTTTAGGGATGTACTCTGAGGTAAACGAAGTCAGATGTTCGGATTCAGTGGCTTCAGAAAAGGTTGAAACTGTTGCAGAAGCTTCCTTCTTCAAAGTTCTTGTCTTCTCCTCAAAGTCCATGCGTTTGAGCTGACTCTTGTAAGTTGAGATCCTCTGAGTGGTGGTGTGCGGCCGCAGCAGCTCCTGATCTTCCCTCTCTTCATACACCCTCTGCTTCTGTCTGGGAGGTTTGTATGTTGCTTTGTCGTGGCGCTGACGGAGGTCAACAAAGCTTGGGCCGGCCTCGTACTTGGATGGAATCTTATAGGAGTCATATCTCTGGATCTCTTCTCCCTCTTCGTCATCGCTGTAGACTCTTCTTGGGGACGAAGGCCGTAGGGCAGCCAGCTCGAAGCGAACCGGGCTGAGGCTGGGTGGGGAGGCGGAGTAACCAAGCTCCAGCTCCTCCTCCAGACGAAGCCTCTCCTCCTCTGTTCTCTTCATGGACAAATATTCATCCACAGGCAGCAGCAGTTCCTCGTCTGAGAAGTCACCCAGAGACCTCCTCCTGATCCTACGGTAGGCCTCCAGCTCAGGGGAAGGAGTGCGATGCCTTGCAGGCCTCACTGTCTCCAGGTCATCCTGAGTCAAGGAGCTGATACGCCATTTCGGTTTGTATTGTTCCTTGATCCTGATGGGCACCTCGTAGAATTGCTCCCACCTGGAGAGCCGAATGCGCTTCATCCTCTTCTGGGTGATTTTCTCCATCGGCTCTGGGAACTCGTACTGATCCCGGAGCTTCTTGTACCATTTCATGTCAGAGAGCGGCTGGAAGTGTTTTATTTCCACATCCTCTTCCAGGGAAGCTGGGTTGATGACACGAGGAGTAGGGACCACATAAGGCATGCGGAGCCTCTTCTCATCGGCCCGCTTCTTCCTCTCCTCTTTTTCTTTCTGTATCTCAGCCGCTGTCTTCTCACCCTTCTTGGTTGTAACAGCAGGTTTGAACATGGTGGCTGCCTCCCTGACGGCCTGCACTGCTGCAGGTGGTAGAGGTGTGACCACAGTGCCTGCCAAAATCTGAGAAATTCTGACCTTTTTGTCCATTTGCTCTTGTTCAGCTGCTTTTTGCCTGTCCTTTTCGCTGGGCTCATATTCCTTTTTCACATGAGTGGAGCGCTCTACTTTCAGGGTTGCCTGGCAGCTGGCAGATCCAGCAGAGTTGGTAGCTGTAACTCTGTACACACCAGAGTCCTCGGGCAGAGTATCTCTCACATGAAGAATAAAGTAATCCAGACCCTCATGGACAACCTCAATGGATGGTCCAAAAGCTAAGGGTGTGCCGTCCTTCTCCCACTTCAGTGCTGGATGACCAGAAACCCTAATCTCAAAGCGGACGTTCTGACCCTCCCTGCACTCGACATTGGCCAGCAGTCGTTTGAACATGGGCCTCAGGGTGAGGTCGGCTGGTTTGGGTCGAGGAACAACGGTGAGTCGGGCCTTGCAGCTGTCGTCACCGAATCGGTTACGAGCCACAACGCTGTACTCGGCGTCATCCTCTTTCTCGAGGTGGTGGATGATGAGCTGGTAAAGACCCTTATCGCTGATGAAGGTGTATTTCTTGTCATCTTGTCCAGGGATGAGCTTCTGTCCAGACTTATGCCAGATAACACGAGGCTCAGGGTGAACTGTGATCGTGACACCGAAGCGAATATCCTCACCAATGTAGGCTGTGCGGTTAACCAGAGGAAGGGTGAACTCCGGTGGCTTCTGAAGCATTCTGGCAGTGTCAACTCTGCGCTTCGTTTTCTTCACCACACGGGAGGTGAAGTAGTCCCGGTAGGATCTGACCCCGCTGACGAACAGCTCTGCATAGGCACTATCCTCCCCGTACTCATTCACAACCTTGCATCTGTAAGTGCCATCATCTGACCTTGTCACCTTGCTGATGGTAATCACAGCCAGGCCGTCTTCATATTCAATTTCATATTTGTCCCCAGCCTCAAGTTGCCTGACACCGCAATACCAAGTCACCTCGGTGGTGCTGTCATAGTTGTCGATGTTGCAGATGAACTTCACATTATCCCCCTCGCTCACCACAACGTGGCTGATCTGGCCCGCCAGAGGACCGTGCTCAAATGGAGCAATCTTCACCTTGGAGACAAAGACTCCCCTCTGGGACCGGATGGAGCCACCGCTGGCCACTCGGGCGGCAGAGACAACCGTGCTCCACTCCTTCTTCACCATTGTCTGGTAGTATCTCTTGTGCCTTCCAGTTGGGATTGCTCTGGCACTGATCTCCTCAGCAGGTTTTGTGAGCCAAGGATGTGCCAGGGCCTCAGCGGCAGCCATGCGGTGCTTTCGGTCCTTTGTCATCAGGCGGTCTGTGAAGTCTAGAGCTTCCACACTGACCTGCTTGAAGGACTCGTCGTCATAGCTGTAGGCTGCGTTGGAGATGTTATCAATCATCTGCTGGTTGGTTTCAGCTGTGAATGGATTTAGTCCACTGATCAGCACATAAGCTAGGACACCAACTGACCACATGTCTGTGACTGTGCTAACCATGTCACACTGGTGGATCTCGGGGGCCGCATACTCAGCAGTGGTATACTGAACCTTGAACTGATCTCCAGGAGTCAGGTGTCTGGACTGTCCCAGTTCAATTATCTTTACAATTGAGCTGGTTCTGGTTGTGTACACAATGTTCTCTGGTCTGATGTCGAAGTGTCCGTAGCTCTGGGCATGCAGGAACTCCAGGGCGGAGCAGACCTGCCTGATGTAGTTAATGATCTCCCGCTCATTCAGCTCAAACTCAGCCGTACTGAGGCGCTCAAAGATGTCAACACCAGAGATGAAGTCATAGATCATCACTAACTCCTCAGGGCTGTCAAAAGACTCATGGAGGAGCAGGAAGTTGGTGTGTTTGGCCAGATTGAGTGTTGCAATTTCCTTCTTGATTATGGCCTGATCAGCCCCTCTCACTTTAACAAATTTAGCCATGTAAGTCCTCTCAGAGCTGGTGTTTACGCAGCGGTGGACGATGCCAAACTGACCTCTGCCCAGTTCCTCTGCAATGGCATATTTGTTGTGCAGATTCTTGGATTCGGAGTGCGGGGCCTTGCCCTTGGGGACACGACCGGTATCATCAACCTCCCTATCATAAAGCAGAACTCGAGACTTGTCCTCTTTGGTCATGACTGGTCCACTACTCTCTGATGGGGCACTCTGTCCGAACTTGTTCTCAGCAATGACTCTGAACTGATAGCTTGTTCCTCCAAACAGGTTGATGACAGTGTAGCGGGTGTCGCGGGACTGGGCCACACGCTCCCAGCGCTCAGCGGTTGTTGGACACTTCTCGATGATGTAGCTGGTGACTTTGCTGCCACCATCATTTGCTGGAGCCACCCAGTTCAGACTGACAGAGTCCCTGGAGACGTCGCTGGCTTTGACACCACGTGGTGGATCTGGTACGTCTGCTACATCAAGCTCGACCGTTTGCTGGTCGATACCAAACCTGTTCTTGGCACAGACAATGTAGAAACCAGCGTCCTTCTTTTCCACTCCACTTGGGAACACCAGTGAAGTGAAGGACCTGGTGACGATAACTTGGTAGTGTCCATTGCTGTCAATGAGGTCTTGTCCTTTCTGCCAGGTGATAACAGGATCTGGTTTTCCAGTGAAAGGAATCTTGATATTGACCATCTCCCCACGGAGAGCTGGAATGGCCTCCTTGTCCTTCAGGTTCTTTGGCAGGTTAATCTTGGCAGGCACTAGAAATGAAAAAAAATGGTCATTTGAAATGTGTGATTTAAGCTTAGAGGATTCATCCACTGTGTTTAAATCTCTTCTATATCTTTTTTTACAGAAAAAGTACTCACCTTCAACATCCAGAGACACGGTGGCACAGATGGAGCCACCCTGGTTGGTAGCCCTGATCTGGTAAACTGTGGAGTCTTCTTCATCTGCCTCAGTAATGACCAGCTGGTGGTATCCTCCCTTAAACTCCTGGATCTTGATCTTCTTTCCATCCGAATGGATCTCCTTTCCACGCCTGAACCATTTAATGACGGGCTTAGGCTGTCCTGTGATCTTGCAGACGAGGGTGGCGTTGCTTTTGTACTTGACACTCATGTTCCTGAGCTCCTCCTTGAAGGCAGGAGCACGTACGTCAACAGCCGTTGCAGGGACGACAGGCGCGGTCTCCTCGCTGTAGTCACTCTGTCCTCCGAGGTTCTCACACTTCACCCGGAAGATGTACTGGATGCCCTCCGTCAGGCGCTTCACAGAGAACACCGTCTGTTTGATTTCATCGGTGGTTACCAGAGCCCATTCACTCCATTCCTTCTTATCCTTCTTGTGCTTCTCTTCAAGGCAATAGCTCTTGATCTTAGATCCTCCATCACTGAGCGGAGGTTTCCAGGAAACCACACAGGAGTCCTTAGTGATTCCAGAAACGACTGGTGAAAGGGGTGGTGACGGTTTCTCTGTAGGTGGGGAAAATGCACAGTCAGCACTTGTGTGTCTCCTCTATGCTGAGGTTAAAACTCAGTATCAAACCGAACGTTATTCTACTTACCAAGCTGACTCTTGATCAGAATAGGTGATGTAAGTTCCAGTGGGTCACTGTTGCCATAGCGATTCTGGGCGTAGACACGGAAGAAGTATCCAGCGCTGTCAATGAGGTTAGGCACTCGGCAGGAGGTGCTGTTAATGGATGAAGACACCAGTTCCCACTCGGTGCCCTCCTTGTCCTCACGCTTCTCCACTATGTAGTTGGTGATCATGCAGCCTCCGTCGTCTTTGGGAGGCTTCCAGCTGATGATGACGGAGTTCTTCAGGAGCGCGTCCAGAACGATGGGGCCCTGCGGCATATCGGGTTTGTCTGGAAACAAAGACATCGTGTGTTTGAGTCCACAGATTTAGGCATCCATGCATATCCATTCATTCACAGCCAGATGTTAATCCGACATACCGTATATCTCCACATTGAACGCAGTGTCAGCCCTGCCAAAGTGGTTGTGCAGCCTGATCCTGTATTTCCCTCCGTGTACTCTCCGCTGGACGTTCTTGATGACCAGGTGAGTGTAGTGCTCAGTGGTCTCAATGCTGATGTCCTCTGTATTCTCCAGAGTCTTGGCCCCATGCAGCCACATGATCTTTGGCTCTGGACGGCCAATGTACACGGCGTGAATGCGTAGAGTGGTTCCCAGTCCAGCATAGTAGGTTTCCTTCAGCGGGTAATCGGGGTGGAAGGAGGGAGCTGCCTCCAGAACCAGGACCCCTGCGGTTTCGGCTTCTCCTGCATCATTAATGGCCTTGCAGATGTATTCTCCCTCATCCTCCTGCTGGTCGGTCATTATAGACAGAGAGTGGTTGCGGCCATCAGAGCTCATCTCGTACTTCCGAGACTCAACGATCTCCTTGCCGACGTGATACCACTTTATCTCTGGAACAGGTCTGCCAATAATCTGGCACTTCATAACAGCAGGCTGGCCGAGTTTGACCGTAACTTCATCCATTTCCTTCCTCATGCTTGGTTTACTCTCAACTGCAGGTGCAAAACAGGAAGGGGCATTAATGGAACCCAGAGGAACATTTTGTGCTGGTTAAACTCCAACAGTGGCAACAACCTGGGTTACCACGTTGACTAAATGTGATAAAATACTTTCCACCCAGTCGATTTGTGTGCTTACCACTTAGTTTGGTCTTGATGCATGTGGCAGTCCTGCGGGGTCGGCTCATTCCTGTCTCATTCTCCGCAAACACCCTGAACTCGTATTCTGTGGCTTCAGCCAGTCCTCTCATGGTGAATTCTTTTTCTTTCAGCCTCTGCTTATTGCACTTCTTCCAGGTGCTCTCTATAGACTTCCTGTACTCCACCCAGTAGCCCAAGACCTCCTTTCCACCATCACATTCTGGAGGCTGCCAGCGAATGCCTATGGAGTTATTACTCACATTCACTGTGTCAATTTCACCTGGTTGGCTGGGCTTGTCTGGGAAAAGGAGGAGAAAAACAGTCAATATATTACCCTGGATGTTCTGTTGATTGACCAATAGATGAGATCCTCTTTTCGATTAACCGATTTACTACAAGACGTTATGTGTCTGTGGTATCACAGCCAGTGAAATTCCATCGGTTACGCTGATTACAGAGACATTAGCACTAGTTGAATTATGTCTGGAATAACTCACCAAATGGATCTTTGCATGTGACGAGGTCAGATGCAGGACCAGCCTCACTCTCGCCGATGTCGTTGACGGCAACGATGCGGAACTGGTACTCTGTATCAGGGGTGAGTCCGGGCAGAGTAAACATGGTGGAAGTTGTCTTGGTGCTGTGGCGGGACCACGTCTCGGCAGACGCCATTTTGTACTCAACAAAATAGCCAGTGATGGCAGAGCCACCATCGTCCTTTGGTCTGGACCAGGCCAGTGCCACCGAGCTCTTTGTGACGTCCATGATCTCTGGTGGGGTGCTCGAAGGCTCGGGGGGACCTGTGTGGAAAAAATCAGATTTGTTACCGCTGAATGGTTTTTATGCTTTTAGACCAAAGAGACTATTTAGGTAATAAAAAAATTAAAAAAAACTTACAGAGAGGCGTCTTGGCTACCAGTGGCTGATCAGACTTCAGAGAAGCACTGACACCAAAGTTGTTTTCGGCTGTGACCTTGAAGTGGTACTCTGTGCCCTCTCTGAGTCCCTTAACGACGAGCTGAGTCTCAGTCACCCGGGAGTCTACGGTATACCAGGCATTTCTGGTTGCCTCACGCCTTTCTACAATGTAACCAAGGACTTCTGAGCCTCCGTCATCTTTAGGCGCCTTCCAGGACAATTTCACAGAGTTGGCTTGGATTTCCTCAAAGACCATTGGTCCCTCCGGGGCGCTTGGGCGGCTTATGACCTTCACTTTGATTTGGGCTTTCTTTTTGCCAACCCTATTCTCCAGAAGAAGGTCATAGACACCAGAGTCTGTCCTCTCTGCACCTTTGATCACAAGCTCGCTGGAATCCTCAGTGGAAGCAATCATAGCCTTGGCGGAGACTGCACTACCATCTTTGGACCATTTGCATGTTGGCTGTGGTTTACCCTTGACGGGCACAGAGAGTCTAACAACTCCTCCATAGCGCACCACATACACATCTTTGTATTTGAGCTCCAGGTCATAGTCAGGAGATTCTAGAGGATTAAATTAGAAAGGTAAGATTTAATCACCTGTTTTGTAATTACGTGCAAATGACTTTTGTTCAGGGAGCATCACGTGTCCTCACCCAGCATCTCTGTCACAGTGACTGTTCCAGGGACTTCAGCTGGCTCTCCAGAGCCACCGGCGTTGCAGGCCATCACACGGAATTTGAACTCCTCTCCTTGTGGCATGTTGGTCAGTGTGTACTCACAGATGAGCGATGGTGTGGTGTTGCACTTGATCCAGGCCACGGTGCCCACCTTCTGCATCTCAATCAGATAACCATCCACCCTGGCATCACCTTCATCATCGGGTGGACTCCAAGCCAGTGACACAGAGGACTTGGTTGTATCTGTAATCCTTGGGTTCTGAGGACAGCCAGGTGGATCTGACCAGGGGAGGGTGAAATATCAGTTAGTGCCGATCCCTAAACAGCTTGCACAATATCTTTCTAAAGCTTTCTCTTACCAATGGGATCTGTGGCCACGGCTGGTTTGGATGGCAGACTGGGTTTACTCAGTCCTCTGCCATTGATGGCAGTGATTCTGTGCTCATACTCCAGGCCCTCTATCAGTTCAGTTGACCTGTATCTGGTCATGGTCACAGGGTTTTTGTTGGCACGGACCCATCGGTCAGACCTGACTTCTTTGCGCTCAATGACGTATCCAGAAACCTCGAGACCACCATCTTCCTCTGGTGGTTCCCAGGCTATAGTCATGCCATCCCGAGACGCATCAAAGACGATTGGACGACCAGGAGGTCCAGGCACATCTGTAGTGGAAGCAAAAATATGCTATCAATCATCTTCATATCAATGTTGGGTGTATGATCTGAGAGGAAACTGGAGCTCTTACTCTTTAAGCTCTTGCAGGTGACTATTTCAGACTGCAGGTACTCTCCGGTGCCATATCGATTTGTTGCAGCCGCACGGAAGACATACTCGTCTCCTTCAATGAGGTTCTCAAACTTGAATGTGGGTCGGCTGACTGAGTCACAGACAGGTACCCAACCGGGCCTGTGAGCATCACGCTGCTCCACCACATAGCCACTGATGGGAGCTCCACCATCCCTGACTGGGGGATCCCAGCTACAGGTGACAGTGGTGGCATCAATTTCATCCAATCTGAAGGGTCCTGTTGGCTCATCAGGTTTAGCTGGTAAAAGTGGAGGAAGTGGGATGACAGTTAGATGGATCTGCTAATGAACGGCTTCAGAGGTTAATGACTTTTTATAAATAAGCAAAAACTCATAAATAAACAAACTCTCAATCTAGATAAGAGAAGAATGTTTTAAAGACAGGGGACAGGGCCTTACAGAGAACGATGACTTTGATGACCTCACTGATGGTGCCAACAACATTCTTCACCTCCAGGGTGTATTCACCAGTGTCATCGATGGTGGTGTCAGATACGGTCAGTTTGGAGAACTTGCCGGTACTTTTGATCTTGACGCGTTCTGTGACCTTCAATTTGTTGTTGGCGAAGTACCAGGAGCAGACTGGAGGAGGTCTGCCGACGATGGGCAGGTCTAGGTCCAGAGTCTTACCTGCCAGGACATTCACCACCTTCTGAGGAATACTGGAGAAGTCCACCACAGGCATCACTGAAAAACAAAGAAAGGCCATGGTTTACACTTTGAAATGATCTGTGTTGCCGTGCAAAATGCTGCTGCTCGACAGAAATCCTTCAACATGAGGAGATTATTTTGTAAAATGGTAAACATGCTTCTTCTTTTCTGGACGCGTTACCTCTCTGTTCCTGTACAGTGACAGCAGAAACGAGCTCTTTCGGCTCGCTAGCTCCTCTGCTGTTGACTGCTTTTATTCTGAACAAGTACTGCTCTTTCTCATTAAGTTTCTCGATGGTGTGCTCAAAGTCTGTGAGCTTCAGCGTGGCCACTTTCATCCACTTGTCAGTGCCGAACTTGCAGGCTTCAATGACGTAGCCGGTCAGCCTGCTGCCGCCATCGTGCTCCGGCTTCTCCCAGCCCAGGGTGACCGTGCTCTTGGTCACGTCGATGACCTCCAGCTTGTGCGGTGGCAGAGGCACGTCACACACCAGGATGACATCTGGAGTCTCACAAGGCTCACCGATACCATAAATGTTTTCAGGAAGGACACGGAAGTAATACAGCATGCCCTCCATCAGGCCGTCGATCTTGTAGGATGTCTTGTTGCACTTGGATGTGACCGTCTTATAGGCTCTCATGGAGGCCTCACGCCTCTCAATGATGTAGTTGTTAACAGGAGCACCGCCATCCACAGTTGGTGCTTCCCAAGAGATGGTGGCAGAGTCCTTTGTGAGCTCTTTCATCTTGATTGGCCCAGTTGGTCCAGGAGTGTCTAAGGAGAAAAAACATGTTTCAGCCAAAATGCTCAGTTGTCAAAAAGAGAATAAAGAATGATTTGATTTGGGAAGTGATTTTTTATAGTCTAATCCACTCACCGTAGACCTTCACAAGAATGTTGACTTCCTGTTTCCCAGCGGAGTTCTCAGCCACCAGTGTGTACTTGCCAGCATCATAGCGGTGAACCTTATCAATGATGAGAGTGGTGGATGTGCTGGTGACCTCAATGAAGCCTCTGTTTTGGAGGTCAACACCAGGCTTGGTCCAAGTGATCGTGGGAGCAGGACGACCAGTGACATGAACAAAAAGACGGAGAGAGCCACCAGCACGGAGGCAGATGGTCTTCTTCAAATCATCATGGAGCTCGAAATCAGGAGTTTCTGGTGAAAGAAAGAATACAAGTTGGAATAAAAATAGTCTCCGATGTTTGGGACTAGTTTAACAGCTACAATACAATAAAAAAGATGGATGATTTTGTTGAGAAGCAATAAAGGGCCAGTCAGTTGGACAGAAACAATCATTCAAACACAATGATCCAAGTGTCCTTGGATATTCTCACCTATTCTCTCTACGGGCTCAGTCTCAGCGCACGGTTCGCTGAAGTCTCCTGCCCCGTTCACATTGACGCCAGCCACTCTGAAGCAGTACTTCTTGCCTGAAGAGAGCCCCGTAACCACATGCTCTGGGGGACGCAGGGTCTTTTCATGGACCTTCTTCCATTCCTCTGCCCCAGCCTCCTGCATCTCCAGGATGTAGCCGATCAAATCGGCGCCTCCATCCTCCACAGGTCGAGACCAGGCCAGACTGATGCTGTCAGCGTGGGTGTCAGTGATACGTGGGATAGAGGGAGGAGCTGGGGTGCCTGAGGAAGGAGGGAAAGACGTCAGATAGAGGCCATTCACCTGCAGTCCGATCAATCTGATCTGACCTCCACAGATCTGCAGTGGTCTAAAAAACTGACTTACATGTTGGGACTCTGCAGATGACATACAGAGAAACCTCGCTTGCCTCACTCTCTCCAGCCTTGTTGATGGCTGTCACTCTGAACTGGTAAATGTTGCCTTCGGTCAAACCGGACACCTTCAAAGTGGTGTCCAGGTGAGCACCATCCCTGTTCACCTTCACCCAGCGGGCACTCTTTTTCTCACGTCTCTCCACCAGGTAATGGGTCAACGGGCTTCCACCATCACTCTCTGGTTTCAGCCACTCAATGGTGGCAAAGTCCTTTCCTGATGCCAGGATATCTGGGGCTCCAGGAGGACTGGGCACAGCTGAGGTAAGGACAAACAGAGGACTTAGGGGGAAGAGTTTATGGGCATCATGTATTGTTTTTAGCAAGCATTAGCACAAGAGTGTTCTTATAAAAAGGAAAACTCTAACATCTTTTAGCTTACAGTTTTGGATTATGAGTGTTTGACATATGTATTTTACTTACTGAATGTGTTTCTTGCCACCATATGCTCTGACTGGAGGTAAACGCCAGCGCCATATTTGTTGACGCCCCGGACTCTGAACAGGTACTCTGTGTTCTTGAACAGCCCTGTGATTTTGCAGGTCAGCTCCTTACACTCTGCATTCATGATTACCCAGTTCAGTCTGTTGGTGTCACGCCTCTCTACGATGTAGTGACTGATATCATCACCGCCGTCCTCAAGAGGAGGCTTCCAGCTCAGTGTGCATGACTCCTCTGTGATTTTGCTGATTTCAATGCTACCTTCACATACTCCGGGTGTGTCTGGAAAAAACAGATCGCGCTAAGTCCCTTTGCATCAGGTGTTACTTTTAATGGTGATAATTCTGATGGTGTTGAAAAACTTACCAAGCACTTTGACGTTGACCTCCGCTGTCTTGGTTCCACTAACATTCCTGACTGTTAGGATGTATTTTCCGGTGTCATCTCTGTCACAGAACTTGATGATGGCCATTGCCTTGGTGGACGTGTACTGCAGATGATATTTTTCACACAGTTCCAGGTCTCTGTTGCCCTTGGACCAGGAAGCCTTGGGATCCGGCCTGCCTCCCACTGCAGCATCCAGAACCAAGTCTGATCCAGCTCTGACCATCACAGTTTCAGACAGGAGTTTGCTGTCCAGCTGGGCCTTTGGAGGCTCTGTTAGCGGATACAAATAACATATTCATTGGAAGATATCAAAGCTTTCCTGTGTTGCTAAAACTGCTGTTGTGAAAAAAAAACTGTGGTGGTCTGCTGGTATCACCACATAGTGATACCGGCACAATGGAAAGAAGTCTTACCAAAGTCGGTCTTGCACTGCACAGAGCCGGTGGACTCGGAGGGCAAGCTGAATACCTGGTTGGCATTCTTGGCAATAACCCTGAACTCATAGGGCTCTCCCTCTCCAAGTGCAGTGACAGTGTAGAACTGATCTGTCACGTTGGTGTAGTTACACTTCAGCCAACGGCCCTCACCAGTTAAGGTGTATGGCTTACGCTCAATGATGTAGCCCACAATCGGACTGCCTCCATCATTCAGTGGAGCCGACCATTTAAGGGAGACAGTAGTTCTTGTAACATTTGTCACTTCGGGCTTACTTGGTGGATCTAAACACAAGACCAGAAGTGTTTGTCAGAATCACTGTTCAGCTGAATATTAAATAAAATGAAAACCTTATTTAATTCAAAACTTAATCTCACCGACAGGGTTTTGAGCAACAGCTCCCTTGGAGGCCTCACTGGCTTTGCTAAGTCCAGCACTGTTCATGGCATAAACCCTGAACTGGTACTCCAGGCCTTCGACCAAACCTTCCACCTTGTAGTAGCACTCAAAGCACGGGATTTTATTCTCTCTAACCCACAAGATGTTGTTCCTTTCCTTCTTCTCGATCCAATAGCCTGTCACCTTGCTTCCACCATCATGGTAGGGCTCCTCCCATTTCAGAGTCAGACCGTTTGCTGTGACATTGAAGGCTGAGGGTCTTGTTGGAGGGCCTGGTGGAGCTGTGATTCAAAAGGACATTTTGTAATTTATGGTAAAACAGACGAAATATATTCATGGAAATGTAAAATTCTACCAATATATCATCTTGATTATTCATTTCATTAGAGTGTATAATGTAAAATAGTTAGGATTTAGTTTAAAGTCATACTTACTGAAAGGATGCTCTGCAACAATGGTCTCAGACTCGGTGTGTTTGCTCACACCAAATCTGTTCTCAGCAGATACTCTGAATGTGTACTGCATGTATTTGGTCAGGTGACTGACATGGAGAGAGGTACGTTTCACGCTGGAGTTGATTAGCTGCCAGGCCGTGGAGCCCGACTCACGCTTCTCAACAATGTAGTTTGTGATATCCGTGCCACCGTCATCCTCAGGTGGTTCCCAGTTAACAACACAAGACTCAGAGGTGATGGAAGAAATTTCAATGGGTCCAGTTGGAGGACTGGGTCTGCCTGTGACATTAACTTCAATGGCAAAAGTCCTGCTGCCTGCTGCATTCTCCAGGTTTAGGTAGTATTTACCACCATCTCCTCTCATGGCCTCTTTGACTGAGATAGAAGCTCTGTCCTTGGTTACTTTGATGCTAACTCTGTCTGAGTTCTTAAGTCTCATTTCCTCCAGCTTCCAGATGACTTTAGGAGTAGGTCTTCCACTGATGGGAACATCTATAGTGAAGGTGCTTCCAGACCTGCATGTGATGAGCTGGTTGACTATCTCACTGAGGTCAGCAGCAGGTTCAATGTGAGGCTCTTTCACCAGTACAGGGGCTAGAGTTTCCTTGGGCTTGCTGAAGCCTGATTCATTCTTTGCCTTCACAAGGAAGTCATATTCATCACCCTTGTTGAGCTTCTCAATAGCGTAGGTCAGGTTCTTGGTGCTCCCTACTACTACCCACTTGTCGGTACCCTTTGGCCTGGCTTCAATGACATAGTTCTGGATGCGACTGCCGCCGTCATGCTCGGGCTTTGTCCAGCCCAGTAAAACGGAGCTGTCTGTGGTGTCAAGGATGTCAAGTCTTTTGGGAGATGCCGGCTCTGCGGTGGCAGTGACGGGTTCAGTCAGCTCAAATGCCTCACCCACACCATGCTGGTTCTCAGCCGAGACTCGGAAGAAGTACGGTACTCCCTCCAGCAGATCTTGGATCTTAAGGGTGTGCTGTGTGCACTTTCCACCAGATTGCTGCCATGTTCGACGGCTAGCCTCACGTCTCTCGACAACATAGTGATGAATACGAGCTCCTCCATCATTGAGAGGAGGCTCCCAGATGAGTGTAACCGAGCCTCTGGAGATCTCTTTGAAAGCTACGGCCTGTGGAGGACCAGGCGTGTCCATCACCTTTACCACGAATGTAACGGCCTTGTTACCGCTGGAATTCTGCAGGTTAAGGGTGTATTTCCCTGAGTCACTCCTGGAGCAGTTTTCAATTCTCATAGAGCTATAGCCATCGGTAGTTATGATCTCTGACATCACACCCAGCTCTCCTTCCTCCTTCACCCAGGTGGCAGCAGGAATGGGCTTTCCTCTGAAGTGGACATCCAGGCACACTGAGCCTCCAGCCTTGACAATATGTGTATGCTTGAAGGTGGCATCAATGTCCACTTGTGGTGGAGTTAGCTTGTCGACAGCCTGAGCAGGCTCAGGAATCTCCTTGTCTTCGCCTCTACCCACATGGTTGACAGCTGCCACACGGAACTTGTACTCAGCTCCGGTCTGGAGGCCTTTGACCACGTGGTGAGTTTCTGCCACAAGCTCCTCATTCACTCTCTTCCACTCACTCTCCTCTGCTTTCACCATCTCAATAATGTAGCCGAGGATCTCCATGCCTCCGTCATCCATAGGCTTGGTCCATTCCAAACTGATAGAGGTGTTAGTTGAATCTGACACACAGACCACAGATGGAGCGCATGGAATATCCTTTGGCTCAGCAGCCTTGATGGGCAAAGAGATATTGCTGGGAGCACCAACTCCAGCATCATTGACTGCCATGACACGGAACTCATACTCCATGTCTTCTGTCAGGCCGGGGACCTTGTGAGCGCATTCGACAATGGGCTTTTTGGTCATCACCTTGTAGAACTTAATAGTTTTCTTCTCTCGTTTTTCCACAACATAGTACTGAATGGGGTTTCCTCCATCAGATGTTGGCGGGGTCCAGGACAGAGTGATGCTTTCTCCTGTTACTTCAGTGGCATCAGGAGTTCCAGGAGCATCAGGAGTGGCTAGGGGGAAGTATTTATAATCAATACAAGATCACTGAGTGTAGATAATGCTGCAATTGAATTATTTTTTTCTTAATATATTAGATCAAGCATAAAAAACACTTTTTGATCTTTCCACTTACTGTACTGCATCTGTGCGATGATCGGGCTTGATTCCAGAGGTCTGCCAACACCAAACTTGTTGACTGCAGAGACCCTGAACTGATACTCATTGGTCTTGATGAGCTTGGTTGCATTGAAAGTACACTCCTCACATTCATCTGACACCAGAGACCAGGAGATTTTGGCGGTTTCCCGTTTCTCAATGATGTAATGTGAGATCTCAGAGCAGCCATCATTTTCTGGTGGTTTCCAAGTTAGAGTACATTTGCCCTCTGAGATTTCGCTGAACATAATGGGTCCCACTGGCTCTCCAGGTGTATCTGCATGACATAGTAGATTAAGGTTTGAATCGGATTAATGAAATAGATAAATGACCATACAGATAAATGAGTTTAGGTTCACCACATACCTTGGACTTGGACAAGAATGTTCTCCTTCTTGGTTCCAGATCCATTAGTAGCTTCAACAGTGAAGAGACCACGATGTGTACGATCAGCATCCCTGACAGAGACAGTGCTTGATCCCGGAACGTTGATAATGTCCATCATCTTTTTGGTGATCACCACTCCATCTCTGTACCAGACCACCTTGGGAACAGGGCGCCCAGTGATGGTAACCTTCAGCCTGATGTTGTCTCCGGCTTTGACTGTCAAACCCTCGAAGTACTCTGGTCCAAACTCAATATTTGGAGAAGCTGGTTGAAAGAAAAAATAAATAAGAATGAACATAATGTAGAATAATGAGACACGTTTAAGAAATAGTGGGGGCAAGTTGTAATGATTATAAAGAGGAACTAAAGCAGCTGACAAGCCCATGTTAGCTCAGTGAGTCCAGCTTTCCTTCCTGTTGGTACTCACCATTTTCACTCCTGACTACAATCAGGCCAGAAGAGTTGGATGGGGGGCTGACGACACCAATCGCATTTCTTGCGATGACTCTAAACTCGTAGCGTTCATTCACTGCCAGCCCTGTGACGGTATACTGGCAGTCATGTACATCAGTGAGGTTTGCCTTGAACCAACGGCCGTGGCCTTGGCGTTTCTCAACACTGTAGCTCGTAATCTTGCTACCACCGTCGTGTTTGGGTGCATCCCATTTCAGCGTTACCGAGTCACTGGTTACATCAATGTAGTCAGGTTGTCCAGGAGGATCTGAAAGAACCAATGTGTTCATTAGGCTTTGAAACACAAGCTGTTGTGCTAAACATACATTCAGTAAAGAAAAACAGTGAGCGGTGAATGGTGAAATTCAGGACTTACCAACTGGACTGACAGCCATGGTTGGCTTGCTCTCATCACTCATTCGGCTGAAGCCAGAATCGTTCTGAGCATATACTCTAAAGGAGTACTCCAGGCCTTCAATGAGTTCCAGAATCCTGAAATCTGTCTCTTTGATCAGTATGGTGTTCACCTTTTGCCACATTATGCTGTTCTTTTCCCTCTTTTCCACATGGTATCCCTGGATGGGAGTTCCACCATCATAGATTGGCGTCTCCCACTGGATCGTCATGCCATCGTTGGTAATATTGTACACAACAGGTTTGCCTGGTGGGCCTGGAGGCCTGAACTGATGTTTGGCAATAACCATTTGTGAGATTAGAGGCTCACTGACACCGTACCTGTTTTCAGCACATACTCTGAACTGGTACTGGATACCCTTGATCAAGTTGGAAACCTTGAACTGAGTCCCCTCTACACTAGAACAGGCCATCTTCCAGTCATTCTGGGAGGTATCACGTTTCTCAACAGAGTAGCAGGTAATGTCTCCACCACCATCATTATTGGGTTCATCCCAGGAGATCATTATGCTCTCTGCTCTCACCTCATCCAGGCGGATGGGTCCGACAGGCTTTGAAGGTGGTCCAAGAGTGATAACGTGGATGTGGAATGACTTCCTGTTGACCCTATTGTCAAGGGTCAGCGTGTATTTACCCTCATTCTCCTTCTTCACATTCTTGATCATGAGAGTAGCTTTGTTTTCTGTTTTCTTGAAGCGCACCTGTTCACTTTCTTTCAGAGGCAGACTGTCTTTCAACCACATAACTGCAGGTCTGGGTTTTCCTTTGTAGGGCAGCTCAATGTGCACATTATGACCAAGGCGAACACTGATGCTGCTACCTGGGTACTCTCTGAGATCTGCCTCAGGAGTGATGATGTAGTCGATAACCTTAATAGGCCCCATTTCCACAAAGTCACCCTGTCCTTTCTCATTCCTGGCTGCAACTCTGAAAAACACCTCAGAGTGTTCTTTTAGTTTCTTGACTTCAAACTCGCACTGTCTGCTGTTTCCTCCCAATGACCATTCCTCATCGTTCAGCTTCTTCTCAATGACGTAGTCAGAAATAATGCTGCCACCATCATAATCAGGCTTCAGCCACTGCAGAGTAACAGAGGTCTTGGATGAATCTTTCATGGACACTTCTTTGACTGGTCCTGGAGTCTCAGTAGCCTTTACTGGCTCAAGTGTTTCGCATGAATCCCCAACGCCATTCTCATTCTCTGCCAAGACGCGGAAGAAGTATGATGTCTTTTCAGAGAGATCTTCAATGGTGTATGTTGTTTCTGTGCATTTGTTTGTCACAGCAGAGAATGTTCTCTTGGAGGAGTCCTTCTTCTCAACAATGTAGTTTGTGATCTCGGCACCACCATCCAGCAGTGGAGGCTCCCAGCAGAGAGTGACCTTTCCACGGGTCACATCCTTCAGCACCAGGTTCCTGCACTGAGCTGGGGTGTCCTGGACCTTCACAGATAATGTCAGCGTCTTGGGCTCACCTACACCATTCTCTAATTTGACAGTGTACTTGCCAGTGTCAAGTCTGGTCACATCACGCATAACGAGCACTGTGGCTGTGTCTGAGTGGTGGAACTCATATTTAGGATCTCGATCTATGCATTCTTCTCCTTTGCTCCAGGAGGCAGTGGGAGGAGGTCTGCCTTTCAGAGGAACAGAAAGCTCCACATCCTTGCCTGCCTTTACAATGTAGTGAGTCCTCATGGCAACATCTGAATCAATCTGGGCCTCCTCTGTGAACATTGAGGAAAATAAATAATGTTATGTGATGTTAACAAAGAGACAACCAATCAAAATATACCGAAAAATTAAATGCATTTTCAATAGTAGATTTTTTAAAACTAACCGAGGATATCTTTAGCTTGCACGGGTTCGGTCATCTCCAGTGGCTCTCCACGGCCGGAACAGTTGACAGCGGAGACTCTGAAGAAGTAGTTTGTGTCTGGCTTCAGACTATGAACTGTGTGCTCCGTTGTTTTGACCTCTCCCTTAGAGGTAATCATGGCCCATTCTTCCTCTCCTTCAACAAGCTTCTCTATCATGTAACTGGTAACCTCACTGCCTCCATCCCATTCTGGTTTGGACCAGCCCAAGGTGATGGATGTCTTGGTGGAGTCCATAACCTTCAGCTTACAAGGCTCGTCTGGTGGATCTGCAAATAGAATTGCTTTGGTAGTCTGAAGTGCACATTGTTGTCATTTTCTTAATCTCTTTAGCTAAATAACTTACCAACTGGGTCAGCAGCCTTGTAAAAGTCTGACGTATCAGAGAACGGCCCCTCGCCAGCTTTGTTAATGGCACAAACACGATATTGATACTCGTTTCCTTCTGTCAGGTGGTAAACCATTTGTTTGACGTCAATGATAGGATCTTTATAAACTCTGATCCAACGCAAGCTCTTTTTATCTCTTCTTTCCAGGTAGTAGCCAGTCACGGCGCTCCCTCCATCAACACCAGGCTTATCCCACTCTACCAGCATGGTGGACTTGGTGGCAGTGTTCACCTCAGGTGTACGAGGCTGGCCAGGAGTTACTTTAGAGAACACAACAGAAACATCAACAAAACCCAATCAAAACAGTAGCAGGCATTCCTTGTAAAATATATTAAAAAACAAAAAAACATCCAGAATCTTTCCTGGAAAGACTACATTAAAAAGGGAATACATTTGCAGCACAGAACTTACCGAAAGCATTCTTTGCAATGACAGGCTCTGATTCAAGAGGTTGCCCAACTCCAAACTTGTTAACCCCCATCACACGGAAGACGTACTCATTTCCACGCAGCAGTTTGCCCACGGTGGCGTGCGTTTGCTCGTGCTTATCTGAAACTGTTGACCAGACCACTCGACTAGTTTCGCGCCTTTCAACAATGTAATGTGTCACCTTGGAACCGCCCTGGTCAGACTCAGGCACAGGCTCCCAGCTGAAGATTATTTTGTCTGCTGTGATAGAGTTGAAGTTAATAAGGCCAGCAGGGGGTCCAGGTTTGTCTAAGAAGATGAGAAAAAAGGCAATTGAGCACATTAATATCAAACACTGTGAGGGAATTATGTCAATTAAATGATGGATTACACACTGAATACGAAGATATGAATTAAAACTGAGTAATATATGAGCTCTAAATACCAAGGATTTCAATCCGGATAGTTGCTGATGCTGATCCCAGAACATTCTTGATCTTGATCTCATATGAGCCTGTGTCAAAACGAGTTGCATCTTTGATCAGAACAGCAGAGGAGTCAGTGGTGCTTTCCACAGACACGGTGGAGCTTGTTACTAGCTCCTTTCCATCCTTGAGCCACTCAATGGTTGGTAGAGGCTTGGCAATTATTCCTACTCTAAGCTTAACTGAAACCCCAGCCTTGTACTGAACTACATCCAGATACTCAGGAGGAAGATCAATGGCTGGAGCACCTGTGGAAAACAAGAATGAATTGAATAAAGCAGATGTACATCTACATATACATCTATATGATAAAGGTGAAGAAGACTAAAATCTTTGGATCGAAATCCGTTGCTCACCACAAGCATCAACACATGTAACTGGACCAGCGATGAGAGATGGATTGCTGACAGACCCAACAGCATTCTTGGCGTACACTCTGAACTCATAAGATTCATCTTGGTTCAGCCCAGATACGGTGAAGCCAAGCTCAAGGATGTTTGTAAAGTTGGCCTTCACCCATCGGCCATTCGGGGCATCTCTCCTCTCCACACTATAGCCAGTGATTTTGCTGCCACCATCAAATGGAGGTTTCATCCAGATCAGGCTGACTGAATTCTTAGTCACTTCTGCGACACGGACATTTGCTGGAGGCTCTGTGACATTAACAGGGAAAAAACAATGTTACTTTTAACAGCAGTAAAAAGTGCATTACCAATATGCACAAGATTGAATGCTTTCTTCATACCATCATGAAATAAAGGAGTTTGAAAGAAAAGTCCTCCAAAGAATGTGAATGAATAATTATACATTTCCTAAAAATCGCTTAGACTGTACAGTAAATTAATAACTTTGCCCTTAAACATTTCATAATCATAAAAATTATATATACACATGTCTTGAAAATCTCAATGAAATTTCAATTAAAGAAAACCTTACCACAGGCATCAATAGCAAGCACTTCTTCAGAGGTCTTGCTAAGCTTCCCAATTCCAGCAGCATTTTCAGCAGAAACCTTGAACTCATAGATGAGGCCAGGGCAGATGTTTGTGACACGCCATTGGTTTCCAGGGATTGCTGTCTTGTTGACCTTCTGCCAGATGATACTACTCCTCTCTTTCATCTGAAGGTGATAGCCAATCACAGGATTTCCCCCATCATTGACTGGCTCATTCCAACAGACTGTCAGGCTCTCTCTGGAAACAAAGCTAAGCCATGGCGTGGATGGAGGTCCAGGAATGGCTGTAAAAACACACCAGTTATTCGTCCATTTAATTCTTTTTAAATCACTCATCTAATACAGTCTTAACAGGTAGAAAAACAGCATCAACTAGAAACATTATCAAAAAGATGAAGACTTACTATAGGGAAGCTTTATCATCACAGGTTTGCTGTCAATGTGGTCGCTGACGCCGTAGCGATTCTGAGCCTTGATTCTAAACTGATACTCCTCGCCCTTGGTCAGCTTAGTCACCTTGATGGAGCTTCTTGCAATACTTGTTGACACCTCTGCCCAGGTAGGAGTGCTGGTTTCACGTTTAAGAACAATGTAGTTTGTTACAGGACTGCCACCATCGTATTCTGGAGGATCCCATTTCAGATAAACTGTTGTCTCTCCAACCTCTCCAATCTGAACTGGACCACTAAGAGGTCCAGGTCTGTCCAGCACCACAAAGATAATGAAGATTTTGGTGGTACCTCCCGCATTTGAAGCTGTGACCTCATACTTTCCAGCATCAGATGAAATACTTTCATTTAGGGTGATGAACAAACTGCCTGGAGTCACTTCTGTCAGAAGCCTCTTGGATCCCTTGATGACAACATTGTTTTTGGACACAGCCACCTTTGGCATAGGCTTGCCAGTGAGAGGAATTTCAAAGGTCAGGTTGGAGCCTGCTTTCACATAGACTTTATTCTTTGGGTAGTTCTTCAAGTCAAACTCTGGAGCCTCTGTTGAAAAATTAAGACAGGAAAATAGGGTAAGAGGTGATTAAACCTCAAAAGCAATACAACAATCACTTTCAAATTCTAACCGCGTCTGTGCACAGTGTCCATAAGAATTACTTTTGAATATGACAATGCAGCAAATCCAGAGACAATACCTTGTATTTCCTTGACAATAACTGGAACAATCATCTCCTTAGGTTCACTGAGTCCAGCATGGTTCTCAGCACGGACCCTGAAGAAATACTCCGCCCCTTCCCTCAGACTCTTGATGGTGTGAGTCAAGGTCTTCACAGTGGCACACTTCACCCACTTGGTTTGTCCTTTCTCCACAGCATCAATGAGGTACCCAGTAACTCTGCTACCACCGTCGTACTCTGGTCTTGTCCAGGCAAGTGTTACACTGTCTTTAGTAACATTTGCAACTCCAAGTCTCGTGGGTTGACTTGGTACCTCTGTAACACAGTAGATTTTTTTTTTTTTTGCATTAATCCAAAAAAAGAATGAGGCTATACAAAATAATATTTCTGATCAGCATGAAAATGAATACCTTACCTGTAATCTTTGTTCCAGCCTTGGCCTCCTGAGGCACACCTACGCCATACTCATTTTCTGCAAGGACCCGGAAGTAATAGACAGCTCCTTCCTGCAAATCCTCCACCTTGTAGGTCAGAGCGTGGCAGTTGATGGTCACAGATACCCAAGCTTTCTTGCTGGCCTCACGTTTTTCTACATGGTAGGCCTTTACTGCATCACCGCCATCGTTCTCTGGAGGCTCCCATGCGAGAGTTGCAGAATCCCGGGTCACGGCTGTGACTTTAACATCGACTGGGGGTCCAGGAGAGTCAAGCACCTTCACTGTCATTGGCAGTGTTGCTTTTCCTAAAGGTGATTCAATTGTGACAGAGTACTCTCCAGAGTCATTCCTATTTGAATTCTCAATAGTCAGGGAGGTATTAGTTTCTGTTGATTCAATGGTTCCTCTGACTTTCAGGTCAACGCCTTCCTTTGCCCATTCGACTGATGGTGCAGGTATTCCCTTAAATGGCACGTTGAGAGTAAATGCTGTACCATGCTTAGCAATAAGTACCTTGCGCAGTTCGATGTCAACATCAAATGATGGCTCTGCTGTTCTGTCCATTGCTGCAGCTGGATCTGAACATGAGCTGCGCACACTGCTGCCAACTTTGTTAATTGCCCTCACACAGAATTCGTATTCTGCATCTGTCTTTAATCCAGGGATTGTGAATTCCAAGCTCTTGGTAAGAGGAATAGCCTCAACCCATCTTGCCAGTTCTTCAGGTGACTCTTCTATCTCTTCCTCTTCCTCCTCATCGTAATATTCCTCCTCTTCTTCCTCAACCTCTGGCTCTGGTTTACGGATGAAATCTCTGTATTCTACACTGTAACCCAAGACAGGAGCACCACCATCATCTGTTGGTGGTTTCCATACAATAGTCACAGTGTCCTTGGTTGAAGTGACAATCTTTGGTTTGGTTGGGCGAGAAGGAGTGACCAGAGGGTCTAGAGCCCTGAATGTTGCAGAATGTTCACTTGGTGGACTTAGACCAGCTGCATTTTCAGCAAGGACTCGGAAGTCATACTCACAACCCTTGCGAAGTTTTGTCGCTACGGTGGTACACTCAACAACTAGATCTCTATTAACTCTAACCCAGCGCATGCCTGTCTTCTCGCGGCGCTCAATCACATATCCAAGAATGGGGCTGCCTCCATCATTTGCAGGCTTAGACCAAGTGAGGGTCATTGAATCTCCAGTTATGGAAGTTACATCAACACTAGCTGGAGCACTTGCAAATGTATATGGATCGGTTATCTTCACAGCATCACTCTCCAGAGCTTCACCAAGGCCAAACTTGTTAACAGCCAGAACCCTGAAGATGTATTCATTGCCCTTGAGCAGACCTGTAACTTTAAAGTAGGTTTTTGTGATATCGCCCTTAACCAGTGTCCACGCCAAACGACTGGTTTCACGCTTCTCAACAACATAATGTGTGATTGCAGCGCCACCAGTCTCCTGCGGAGAACCCCATGAAAGCATACAGTCCTCAGCCGTCAGATCAGTGATCTGCAGAGGTCCTGCTGAGGGCCCTGGTTTATCTAGAATCACACAGTTTATTGGCATGGTGACTGTTCCAGCAATATTCTGTAGAGTCAGAGTGTACTGGCCAGAGTCCCTTCTGATGCAGTCCTTTACAATGACAGAGGTGCTTGTATCTGTTGAAACTATTTGGATCCTGGCTCTAAGCTCAATGTCTTTGCCATCTTTAGTCCAGCACACAACAGGGGCAGGACGTCCTGCAAGGTCAGCATTAATCTTCAGAGTTTCTCCTGCTTTAACAAAGACGGTCTCTCTAAATTTGACATCCATCATGATTCGAGGTGGATCCACATCATCCTTGGCAGTTATAGGGCCCGTGTTATCCGATGGTATACTGAACAGTCCAGCTGCATTCTTTGCAATTACACGGAAGTCGTACTGGCTGTTCTCTGTAAGGCCTGTCACATCGTAGTGGGTTTCAGGCACATTGGTGAAGTTACACCTCGTCCATCGTCCTTCTGGAAGGTCTCTGCGTTCAATAATGTAACCGGAAACTTTGGCTCCACCATCATACTCTGGTTTATCCCAAGATAGGGAGACAGATTTTCTTGAAACCGCAGTGACAACAGGTGTGCCTGGAGGATCACATGGATCTCTGGCGGCTACAGCCTCACAGGCCTTGCTGCATTTTCCAATACCGGCAATGTTTTCAGCATAGACACGGTATTCATACATCATTCCCTCTTCAATACTGTTGACTTTATATTCAGTGTCCTTGATCATCCCTCTGTTCATCTTTGTCCAGAGAATGCTGGAACGCTCCTTCCTCTCCAGATGATACCCTAGAACAGGACTGCCTCCATCAACGACTGGCTCGTTCCAGGTCACCAACATGAAAGACTTGGTGGCCATTTTCACTATTGGTGTAGAGGGAGGTCCAGGTTGTTTGAAGTTGTATTTTGCAGTTATTCCAGGTGAATCCAGATATGTGCTCTTTCCATAGCGGTTAACTGCATAAATACGGAACTGGTACTCCGCTCCATGTGTCAGGCGTCCAGCTTTGAATGATGTTCTGGCAACATTACTGGCAACCATTTGCCATTCCTGTGAGTTTGTGTCTCTCTTCTCCACAATGTAGTTGCTGATGGAGCAGCCACCGTCATATTCTGGAGGCGACCAAGACAGTGTGATGCTGTCTGAAGTCACAGCATCCACTTTGATTCCTTTAGGTGGTCCTGGTTTATCAAGGACAACGACCCCAATATCTGCCGTGGCAGTTCCTGCAGCGTTGGCCAAGGTAATTTCATACTTGCCAACGTGATCCCTGCTTGCCTCTTTAATGATAATTTTGGAAGAGGTCGCAGTATTTAAGATGGTCACAGATGATGTTTGCTTCAAAGGAAGGGCATCCTTCTTCCAGGATACAACAGGCTTCGGCCTGCCTCTTACAGGGACTTCAAGGGTAAGGTCACCTCCAGCTTTCACACTGTATGTGTTGAACAGTAAGTGTACTGATGGTTCAACTCCAATATCCTTTGGAACAACAGGCAAGCCAACATCCTTTGGTTCACTCTTTCCCTTCTCATTGATTGCTACAACTCTGAATAAATATGCTTCATTGGGAGTCAGATTAGGGATTGTTGCTTCTGGCACTTTGACTGTACAGGCTGTGCCCCACTTGTCCCCACTCTTGGGCTTAAATTCTACATTGTAGCACATCACTTTGCTTCCACCATCGTGTGCAGGTTTTTCCCAGGCCAGTGACACACTGGTCTTGGTGAGATCTACAACTGTCACCTTGTTTGGTGGTAGAGGCACTTCAGACACCTTGACTTCTTTTGTTTCAACCATCTGTCCTTGGCCATAAGCATTGACAGCACACACTCTGAAGTAGAACATTCCACCTTCAGGTAACTCTTCAATCTTAAATGAGTTGGCTGTGCAGTTACTTGTGACAGTCGTATACGCCTTTCTGACAGATTCTCTCTTCTCCACAATGTAGTTTGTAATTTTCGCACCTCCATCAGTAAGTGGCGTGTCCCAGGCAAGAGTAACTGAATCCTTCTTGAGCTCCTTCACTGCAAAGTTTTGTGGTGCACTTGGTGTGTCCAGAATTCTCACCACAATAACAGCAGATTTTGTGCCGATGCTGTTCTCCAGTGTTAGTGAATATTTGCCACTGTCAAATCTGTTAACGTTGTCAATAACAAGCATGGTGTATGAACTAGTAGTGTCGATTGCTGCATGTTCACTCAGGGTATCCTCGACCTTTTCCCATCTCACGGTAGGTTGAGGTCTTCCTCTAATTGCAACAAACAGACGTAGAGTTCCACCAGCACGGACAGATATCACCTTTCTGAGGTCAGCATCCAGCTCTATCTCTGGTCCTTCTGACCTGTCAGAAGTTACTATTGTGCCATGGACACTAGCAGCCTCCCCGACTCCCTCTGAGTTGATGGCACAGACACGGAACTGGTACTCCTTGCCCTCCTGCAGGTCTGTGATCGTGAGTTTAGTGGCTTGAATGCCAGTGGGTGGAGTGCACATTGTCCATTCTTTTTCCACAGGTGCTTCAACTGCTGGAGCCACTTCTGCTTCATCTGTTGTTTCAGCCCCTGGTGTGTACTCCCTCATTTCAACGATGTATCCCTTGACGTAGGCTCCACCATCAAAGTCAGGCTTACCCCAAGACAGGGAAACGGAGGACTTTGTGTAATCTGTGACCTTAGGGTGGTGTGGAGGTCCAGGGGGCGTTGTAGCATCACATGCTCTGTAGAACAGGGACAATTCACTGAGATCTCCAATTCCAGCCTCATTCTCAGCTGCAACACGGAACTCATAGAAGTGATCTGTCATCAGACCAGTGACCTTGAAGTGAGTGTCAGTCAACTTTTGCCTGTTGCATTTTGTCCACCTCACACCATCTTTGTCGCGTTTTTCTAGATGATAGCCTTGAATTTCAGCTCCGCCTGTGGATTCTGGGGTTGTCCATGAGAGCACCATAGAGTCCTTGGTGATCTGACTTCCTTCTGGAGTTCCAGGAGCACTAGGTGGCTTGTATGGATTGCGTGCAATGATAGGTTCACTCTCAAGATAATCACCAACACCATATTTGTTAATAGCCCTGACTCTGAAAATGTACTCATTTGATGGGAGCAAGTTTGTTACTTTATGGTATAGACCCTTAACACTTGGTGCAACCACTGTCCAGGACAGCCTACTAGTCTCTCTCTTCTCCAAAATATAGTGACTGACACTGGCCCCACCATCTAGAGTTGGCTCAGACCAGGAAAGAACACATCTATCAGCCATGACTCCAGTCACTTTAATGGGTCCAGCGGGAGGACCTGGTTTATCAAGGACTTTAACAGTAATGGGGAAGGCTTTTGAACCACCAAGATTTTTCAGAACAAGATCATAGTGACCACTATCAAGCTTGGTGACATCCTTAATGGTCATAGAAGCCCGCTTCTGAGTAGTTTTTACTTCAATGCGCAAGGCCCTTTCCATGTCCTTCCCCTCTTTCAGCCAGACAACATCAGGAATTGGTTTTCCATGAATGTCTGCATCAAGAAGTAAACTTTCTCCAGCATTGACAACAATAACGTCCTTGTATTTGGGATCCATTGAGGCCCTTGGTGGTTCAATTTCATCAGTAGCAGTGATAGGTCCAGAGCTGTCAGAAGGCTCGCTGAAGACTCCAGCTGCATTTCTTGCAATAACCCTGAATTCGTATTGTTCATTTTCGGTAAGCCCAGTGATAGTATACTCTGTCTCCATGATATTGGTAAAGTTAGCTCTAACCCAGCGCAGCTCAGGTGAGGAGAGATCTTTTCTTTCCACAATATATCCATTTACTTTGCTGCCACCATCATACTGAGGCTTGGTCCACTGAATCTTTATTTGATTCTTTGAAATAGCTGCAGCTTCTGGGGCACCTGGAGGATCACATGGATCACGGGCAACAATGGACTCAGAAACTTTGCTACATCGGCCAATACCAACAACATTTTCTCCATAAACTCTGAATTCATACCCAATACCCTCTTCAAGATTGCATATCTTAAATTGGGTATCAGTTATTAGAGTCTTGTTCAGTTTGTTCCACAGAATACTGCTCCTCTCTTTGCTTTCCAGATGGTAACCAATGACTGTACTTCCACCATCATTGACTGGCTCATTCCATTCAATTATCATCATTTCCTTGGTTGCAGACTTCACATATGGTGTTCCTGGAGGCCCTGGTGGTTTGTATGGATATTGTACCACAATGGCCTTTGAGTCCAGAGAGCCGCCTTTTCCATATCTGTTTTCAGCTATGATTCTGAACTGGTATTCTGCACCCGTCTTTAGTTTGGTGACCTTGAAAGCTGTTCTAGCCAATTGTGTAGTAACTGCTTGCCATGTTGTTGTGGTGGTATCTCTCTTTTCTACTATGTAGTTCTTCACTTGGCATCCACCAGTGTACTCTGGGGGCTCCCAGGACAAATGGACGAAGGTGTTGCTGACCTCAACAACTTTGACTGGACCTTTTGGTGGACCAGGCTTGTCAAGGACAATGATAGACACATCCTCAGTGATAGTGCCTGTAGTGCTAGTGGCAGTAATGGAATATTTTCCAAAGTCCTCTTTGCATGCCTCAGTAATTTGGATTCCTGTTGTTAATGGAGTGTTTACAACATTAACTCTTGATGTCACTTTCAGGGCTTGATCATCCTTCTTCCATGTGATTCTAGGCTTGGGCCTGCCGAGCACAGGGAACTCCAACTTCAGATCTTTTCCAGCTAACACACTATAAGTATTGAATTGCATCTTTATGCTCGGCTCTATGGTCATGTCGCTTGCTATGACTGGTGCAGCCAGCGCCTTTGGCTCACTCTTTCCCTTCTCGTTGTAAGCAATAATGCGGAATAAGTATTCTGTTCCTGACGTGAGGCCTGTAACAGTTCCCTCACATGTCTTTGTATTTGTTGCAACTCCCCACTTATCTGTGCCTTTAGGAAGCATCTCAATCAAGTATCCTCCAATCCTACTGCCTCCATCATACTCTGGTTTCTCCCATGCCAGTTTGGCAGTGTTTTTGGTAACATCTGTGAGGAAGACCTTTCCAACAGGTAGTGGTACCTCTGAGGCCTTTGAAGCTGTTTTTGTTTCTATGGCCTGACCGACTCCATAATCATTTTCAGCCATGACTCTGAAGTAGTACATAGCACCCTCAACCAAGTTCTCAACTTTGAATGTAGTCGTCGTGCACTTAGTGGATACGTTTGCATATGCCTTCCTGGTTGATTCACGCTTATCAATCACATAATTCTTGATCTTGGACCCTCCATCGATCAGTGGGGCTTCCCATACAAGAGTGACTGAGTCACTCTTAATGTCTTTAACCACAAGTTTCTGTGGGGCTCCAGGTGTATCTAGAACCTTTACTGAAACAAACTCAGACACTGATCCACTGCTGTTGGTCAGGCTTAAACTGTATTTTCCTGAGTCATTCCTATCACATGAGTCAATTGACAACTGAGTAAAGTTGGCTGCCTTCTCCACAATGGCTCTTTCAGTCAGATCTCCCTCATCCTTTGTCCATTTAATCTCAGGCAATGGCCTACCCTTAAATGGAACATGGATTCTAACAGACCCACCTGCTTTCAGTGTTATGCCTTTTCTCAGTTCAGAGTCAAGGTGAATCTGTGGTGGTTCCGTCCTTTCTTCTGGCTTAGCCGTTCCAGAGAGAGTAGCTGGCTCACCAACTCCTATCTTATTGAGGGCACACACTTGGATTTTGTATTCCAGGCCCTCAGTAAGTTTTGTGATTTCATATTTGTTGACGCGCAGCCCAGTAGGGGGAGTAACCATGGTCCATTCCTCCTCCTCAGCTTTGCAAACTTCAACAATGTACCCTTGAATGGGAGTACCACCATCAGAATGAGGCTTTCCCCATGAAATAGTAACAGATGTTTTTGTAGAGTCAGTCACGTTCACATATGCTGGGGCACCTGGTTTGTACTTCGGATCGCTTGCCCTGTAATATGAACTTGGAAGGCTTGGTACTCCAACTCCAACTATGTTCTCAGCGGCCACTCTGAACTCGTACTCATGGCCTGTGGTGAGGCCTGTTGCTCTGAAGGAGAGATCGGTGACTTTCTGTCTATTGCACCTTGTCCATTTAATTCCAGCTCTGTCCTTCTTTTCAACGATGTAGTTGGTAATTTCACTGCCACCATCACTGTCAGGGGCAGACCAAGTGATGGTCATGCCATCATGGGCAATGTTGGACACATCCTCAACGTGGGGGGAACCAGGGGGAACAAATGGAATCTTCATGATCACTGCCCCAGACTCCAGAGGCTCACTAACACCATAGCTGTTGACCGCCATCACACGGAATATATATTCATTACCTTCCAGCAGTTTGGTAACTTTATAGCATGTTGTATCACAGCTGTTGGAAACAACAGTCCAGGCCAGTCGACTGGTCTCTCTTCTCTCAATGATGTAATGACGAATGGCACTTCCTCCATCGTGTGGGGGGGCCCGCCATGCCAGTGTGCATCTATCCTCAGCAACTCCTGTGATATGGAGTGGACCCTCACACTGGCAAGGCTTGTCCAGGACCACAACTTTGAAGGGAATTGTTTCACTGCCTGCGTCATTTGTGAGCAGAAGGGTGTAAGTTCCACCATCAACTCGGACGGCATCCTTAATGACGATGAGAGCATGGCTTTCTGCGTTCCTGATCTCCAGTCTGAGTGTGTTCTCAACAGGCTTTTCATCCTTAAACCACTGGATTGTGGGCAAGGGTTTGCCACGGACGTCAGCATCTAACTTGAATGTGTCTCCAGCATTTACGATGATGGTCTTGGTGAATGCAGGGTCAATGGAGAATTTGGGGGCTTCTATATTATCACTTGCAGTGATTGGACCACTGTTGTATGATGGCTTACTGACTGTCCCAACAGCATTTTTAGCAATGACTCTGAAGTCATACTGGGCATTTTCAGTCAGGCCTGTTACGGTGAACTGCGTCTCTATCACGTTTGTGAAATTTGCTCTTACCCACCTTCCTTCTGGCAGATCACGCCTCTCTATGACATATCCAGTAATATTACTTCCACCATCATATTCTGGTTTAGTCCACTGAATGACAATAGTATCTTTGGTCACATGGGTGGCCTCTGGTATACCAGGAGGATCACATGGGTCACGAGCAACACAGCCCTCTGAGACCTTACTGCTTCTACCAATACCAACAATATTTTCTGCATAAACCCTGTATTCATACTCAGTGCCTTCCTCTAATGGATGACTCTTGAAACTATTCCCATGAATAAGGGTCTTGTTGATTTTGACCCACAGAATGCTGTTTCTCTCTTTCCTTTCCAGATGGTATCCTAGAACAGCACTGCCTCCATCTGAGACTGGCTCATGCCACTCCACAACCTGGTGGTCCCTGGAGAGGGAGGAGATGAATGGAGTGCCTGGTGGGCCTGGCTCTTTGTATGGGTACTGAGCAACTACAGCCGATGAGTCCAGGCCGTGACTCTTGCCATAGCGGTTTTGGGCAATGATCTTAAACTGGTACTCAGCGCCAGTCTTCAGTCTGGCCACTTTGATGCTGGTCCTTGCACAGTTGATGCTGACGTTTTCCCATGTTGTACTGGTAGTATCTCTCTTCTGAACAACATAGTTTGAAATTTGACATCCCCCATTGTGCTTTGGTGGATCCCAAGAAATAGTGATGCTCTGTGTTGTAATTTCATCAAATCTCACAGGACCAGATGGAGGGCCAGGTTTGTCAAGCACAATAATCTCAACTGCTGTGTCCTTCTTTCCAGATGAGTTAGTAGCAGTAATGCCATACAGGCCTCCGTCATCACCTGCTGCTTCCTTAATGCTCAGTGTTGTAAGTGTTGGTGTGTTAATAATATTTACCCTGGTGGTGAACTTTAGGGCAGCTCCATCTTTAGTCCAAGTAACTACTGGTTTTGGCCTTCCAAAGATGGGAATGTCAACATTCATGTCTTTGCCCACATGTACGCTGTAGCTGCTGAAGGCTGGGCGGATATCTGGCTCAAAGACCAAGTCTTTGGTCATCACAGGTCCAGCAAGAACTTTTGGGTCACTCTTTCCCTTATCGTTCATTGCAGTAATTCGGAACAGATACTCCTCTCCTGGGTTGAGATTAGAAACTGTAGCCTCCATCGTCTTATAGGTGTTTACACCAGACCACTTCTCCTGGCCCTTTAGCTGCACTTCAAGCAGATACTGGATGACTCTGCTTCCGCCATCATATTCTGGCCTCTCCCATGACAATGAAATGCTTGTTTTAGTCTGATCTGTAACAGTCAAACTCTTTGGAGACTGGGGCACCTCTGAAACCTTTAGAGGATCTACTGTGGAGGCAGGCAAGCCAACACCATAAGAATTTTCTGCAAGAACACGGAAGTAGTAACTGCAGCCCTCCTGGAGTTGTTCAATTTTCCATGAAAGAGCATGGCAGCTAGTTACCACAGCAGCGTATGTTTTGCGTGTGCTTTCTCTCTTTTCAATGATGTAATTTTTGATCTTGGATCCACCATCCAAAAGAGGCGGCTCCCATGCCAGCGTAACTGACTGGTTTGTAATTTCTTTCACTTTAAGATTAACAGGAGAGCTCGGTGTGTCAAGTACACGGACAACCACATATGCAGATTTGGTTCCACTTGAGTTCTCCACAGTAACAGTGTATTTTCCGCTGTCGTGTCTGCTCATCTTATCAATGACAAGTGATGTGTAACTGCTGGTTGTCTCAACATGCGCAGACTCTTTAAGAGCACTTTCATCTTTGTCCCACTTGATGGTAGGAGTGGGTCTTCCTTTGATAGGAATGAACAGTCTGAGTGAAGTGCCAGCTTTGATGGTTACAATCTTTCTCAGTTCAGGGTCAATATCGAGGTCTGGCTCCTCAAGCCTGTCCTGCACAACAATAGCTCCAGAGACATCAGCATGTTCACCAACCCCCACCTTGTTGATTGCACACACCCTAAACTTGTATGCTTGGTTTTCTTTGAGATTTTCAGCCTCAAATTTAGTCTTTTTTACACCTGATGGTGGCGTGCACATTGTCCATTCTTCAGCAGGTGCTTCTGTGGGAGCTGCTTCTGCATCCGTAGCCTCAGCCTCGGGCGCCGTTGGCTCCTTTGCAAGACAACATTCAACAATGTATCCCTGAATCTCACAGCCTCCATCGCACACTGGCTTTCCCCATGACAGGAACACTGATGTTTTTGTTGTGTCAGTAACCTTCGGGTTGTAAGGCGGGCCAGGACAGAAAATGGGATCAAGAGCTTTGAAGAAAACTGTCGGTGAGCTGGGTTCTCCAGGACCAACAGCATTCTCAGCAACAACTCTGAATTCATAAATATGACTTTCTAAGAGTCCAGGGACTCTGAACTTCAAATCAGTGACTGTTTGTCTGTTGCATCTAGTCCATCTAACACCTTCTTTGTCATGTTTCTCAATGATGTATCCAGTAATAGGACTGCCCCCATCTTCAGAAGGAGCCTCCCAGCTGAGCATCATGGAATCCTTTCTAATATCTGAAACTTCTAAATTCTTGGGTGACCCAGGTGATACATATGGATCCTTAATTATCACGGGGGCAGACTCAAGTGATGCACCAACTCCAAACTGGTTGACAGCGCGGACTCTGAAGATATACTCATCCCCCTCCAGGAGTTTAGTAACTGTTAGACAAACATTCTCCAGTTTGGGGTCGACAACAGTCCAGACAAGTCTGCTTGTCTCTCTCCTCTCCACGATGTAGTGAGAAATCTTGCTGCCACCATCTTGCAGTGGAGGTTTCCAGGCAATTGTGCAGCGGTCTTTAGCTACTCCTTTAACCACAACAGGTCCTTGTGGTTCCCCAGGTTTATCTAAGACAAGCACATCGACTAGTACAACTTTTTCTCCTCCTGGATTTTTCAGCAACAGAGTGTACTGACCCCCATCGGAAAGTTTAGCTTCTTTTACAGATATGTAAGCTTTTGTGGGTGTATTTTTAATTTCTCTGTGAATAGTGTTGCCAAGTTCCAGCTCTCCCTTCATCCAGTGGATTGTGGGCAATGGTTTGCCATGAACATCCGCATCGATTTTGAAGTTATCTCCAGCATTAACCACAAGAGTCTGCGTGTACTCTGGGTCAATACTGACACGTGGTGGTTCAATCTCATCCTTTGCAGTTATAGGACCAGTGCTGTATGAGGGCAAACTGAAGACACCGGCTGCATTTCTGGCTATGACACGGAACTCATACTGATTGTCCTGTGCAAGTCCCGTTGCAACATATTCTGTTTCAATGACATTAGTGAAGTTGGCCTTCAACCAACGTCCCTCAGGAAGCTCTTTCTTTTCCACGATGTAGCCAGTGACCTTGGCACCACCGTCATACTCAGGCTTGGTCCAGACAATGGTTACAGAGTCTTTTGTGATCTTTGTTGCTTCTGGGGTGCCAGGAGGATCACAAGGATCTCTGGCAATGTGTCCTTCTGACACTTTGCTCGCTTTGCCAATTCCAACAATATTTTCAGCATAAACTCTGTATTCATACTCCATTCCTGGTTCCAGACCTGTGGTCTTGAAGGTCTGTTCAGTAATAAGAGACTTGTTTAGTTTCACCCAAAGAATGCTGTTTCTCTCTTTCCTTTCAAGATGGTAGCCTAAGATATTGCTTCCTCCATCATTTACAGGTTCATTCCAGGCCACAACCATGCTGTCCTTGCTGCATTCTGCAATGGATGGTGTTCCAGGTGGTCCTGGTAGCTTATATGGGTATTGAGCCACAATACACTCTGACATGAGGGCTGGGCCTTTCCCGTATCTGTTTTCAGCTGTGATTCTAAACTGATACTCTGAGCCAGTCTTACACCGTCCTGCCTTAATTTTTGTTCTTGCAAGGTTGGGTGAAACAACCATCCAGGTATTTGTGGATGTTTCTCTCTTTTCCACAATGTAGTGTTTGATGGTGCAACCACCAGTATACTCTGGTGGATTCCAGGAAATGGTTACACTGTCAGAAGTGACTTCCTCCACTTTAACTGGACCAGTGGGTTGGCCAGGTTTGTCAAGAACAACAATGCCAATATTTGCTGTTGTCTCTCCTGCTGTGTTAGTGAGAGTAATAACATAGTGTCCAACGTCATCCCTAGCAGCTTCTTTAATGGTAAGATTGAGCTTGGTTTCTGTTGCACTAAAGCCAACTCTGGTAGTTCTCTTTAGGGGCTGACCGTCCTTCACCCAAGAGACAGCTGCTTTGGGACGTGCAACGAAAGGAATATCCACTGTCAGATCTTCTCCTGCTAACACACTGAAAGTGTTGAACAATAACTTAGCAACAGGTGCTATCACAAGGTCTTTGACTATCACCGGGACTCCAATTTGACGAGGATCACTTGTTCCTTTTTCATTTCTTGCCGCCACGCGGAACATGTACTCTTCACCTGCATTTAGTCCACTGATGGTAGCTTCTGTTTCCTTTACAATCACAGACTGGGTCCACTTCTCAACACCTTTAGGCTGGATCTCAACAACATAACAGCCGACTCTACTGCCGCCATCATGCTCTGGCCTCTCCCATGAAAGGGTCACACTGTTTTTGGTAACATCCTTGAGGGTGATTTTTCCAGGTGGCTGTGGTTTCTCAGAGACTTTAACTGATTCAACAGTTTCTATCGGCAAGCCAATACCATACTCATTTTCAGCCAAAACTCTGAAGTAATAGTTGCAGCCTTCTAGAAGCTGCTGAACTGTGAAGGTGGTGCTGTGGCAATTAGCATTAACTGTGGCATATGCTTTCCTTGTAGACTCACGTTTTTCAACTACATAATTCTTAACTTTGACCCCTCCATCATTCACTGGTGGATCCCATGTGAGGGTGACGGCTTCATTTGTGACAGCCGCAATCTTCAGATTCTGTGGGGCACTTGGTGTGTCGAGAACCCTGACTTGGACTGAGACCTCTTTGGAGCCAGAACTGTTTTCAACGGTAAGATTATATTTTCCACTGTCAAATCTGTTGACATTTTCAATTACAAGTGATGTGTATGATGTTGTGCTGTCAATAGTTGCTCTCTCCACAGGTTCACCATCACCTTTAGTCCATTTGGCCTGAGGAGCTGGTCTACCTCGGATTGGCACGAACAGTCTGAGAGAGCAGCAGGCTCTGAGACTGACCATTTGGCGGAGCTCAGCATCTAAATCAATCTCAGGTGGGAGGAGTCTGTCCTCTGCTTTGGGACTTCCAGGTACCAATGCCGCCTCTCCAATTCCTTCACTGTTGATGGCAGAAATGTTTATCTTGTACTCCTGGTTTTCTTTTAGATTAATAATTGTAAATGAAGTAGCAACGAGACCCTCCTTGGGTGTCACAATTGTCCATTCCTCCTCTTCCTCCTTTTCAGATGGGATGCAAGTCTCCACAATGTAGCCAGTAATTTCAGAGCCACCATCGTAAACAGGTTTGTTCCAGGCAATGGTAATTGAAGACTTGGTTGTGTCCAATATTCTGGGGTTGCATGGAGCCCCTGGCATGTACAGTCCATCAGTGGCCTTGTAGAAAGGACTTGATACACTTGGTGCACTCACTCCAGCGGCATTTTCTGCAATTATTCTGAATTCATATTCATGCCCATTAACAAGGCCTGTTGCCTTAAACTGTAGATCTTTAACCTTCCTTTTGTTGCATTTGACCCAACGGAGGCCTAATCTATCTTTCCTTTCAATATTGTAGTTTGTAATGGGAGTTCCACCATCACTCTTTGGTGCTTGCCACATAAGGAACATTGAATCTTTAGTGATAGCTGTGACTTCAGGATTTTCTGGAGGATCCGGAATCACATAAGGGTTGTCTGCAATAGTGGGCTCTGATTCGAGAGATTCACCAAGTCCATATTTGTTCACTGCCATAACTCTGAATATATATTCATTTCCTTTAAGAAGCTTAGTCACTTTGTGTTGTGTAACTTGCAGATTTGAAACCACATTGGTCCAAACAAGTCTGCTTGATTCACGTTTCTCAATCACATATCCTTCAATCTTGGCTCCCCCATCATCTGCAGGCGGGGCCCAGGTAAGTACGCAGTTGTCAGCAGTAACATCAGACACTTCCAGAGGTCCAACTGGTGGTCCCGGTCTGTCAAGCACTTTCACATTAAAGATGTGCTTTGCAAATCCACCGACATTAGTGGCAGTCAGGACAAATTCCCCACCATCTGATCTGACAGAGTCCTTGTTGGTCAGAGTTGTGGTCAGCTCAGTGAACCTGACTTCAAGTTTCATGGTGTTCTCCACTTCCTTTCCATTCTTGGTCCAAACCATGGATGGTGTTGGTTGACCAGCAATATCGGCATCAAGCTTGAAAGACTCACCTGCCTTAAGTAGAACAACATCCTTAAAGATGGCATCGACCATGATACGTGGTTCAATGATGTCATCTTTGCAGATAATTGGGTCTGATGGGTCAGAGGGCACGCTCACTGCCCCCGCTGAGTTTCTGGCTATGATACGGAACTCATAGGAGGTGTCCTGAGTCAGTCCACTGACAGTGAACGTTGTCTCTATGATGTTAGTGAAGTTGGCCCTCATCCAGCGACCGGCAGGAAGCTCTCTCTTCTCCACTGTGTAGCCAGTGATTTTGAAGCCTCCATCATACTCAGGTTTGGTCCATTGAATTGTGATGACATTCTTGTTAACAAATATTGGCATAGGCTGACCTGGTGGATCCACAGGGTCCAGAGCCAGGATTGCTTCTGAGGCCTTGCTAGGTTTACCGATTCCGGCCATGTTTTCAGCCATGACGCGGAATTCATATGCAACTCCGTCTTCAAGTCCAGAGGATTTAAAGATGTTTCCTTTCACAATACTTTTGCTTATTTTTTGCCACATAATGCTGCTTCTTTCTTTCCTCTCAACATGATAACCAATGACTTCATTTCCACCATCAGACACAGGCTCATTCCAGCCAATTGTTATTGAGTCCTTGGTAAATGCAACGATACCAGGAGTTCCAGGAGGCCCGGGAACTTTGAAGGGATAAGCAGCCACTACTGCCTCTGAAGTAATGGGTGGTCCAACACCATATCTATTTTTAGCCTTTACCCTGAATTGGTACTCAGATCCAGTGGTTAACCGAATGGCCTTAAACATTGTGCGTATGACAGTGGAAGACAATTCAGTCCATGTCTGGGAAGTAGTATCTCTAATTTCAACCACATAATTGTTAATTGGAACCCCTCCATCATTCTCAGGAGTTTCCCATGAAAATATGCAGTAGGTACGAGATATTTCAACAATCTTAACCGGTCCTTTGGGTGGCCCGGGCACATCGTGTACTTTGACAATGATGTTGTCACTCACAGATCCAACAATGTTCTTCCCGGTCATAGTGTACACACCGCTGTCGGCTCTATTGCATTCATTGATACTGATAACAACAGTGGCAGGAGTGGTTTCAACGTTGATTCTCTGTGTGAGCTTCAAAGTTGCTCCATCCTTCTGCCAAGACACTGTTGGCCTAGGACGTCCCATAACTGGAATTTCAGCCTTGATGTCATCTCCTGCCTTAGCAATGATAGTCTTCTGACAAACGCCGCGCAGGTCAAACTCAGGCAGTGAAGTAGAATCCTTAACAACAATGGGCTTGCTCTCACGTGGAACACTTCTACCAGAGTGATTGACAGCCATGACACGGAAAACGTATTCTTCACTCTCATTGAGATTCTTCACTGTGAAGTCCATCGTCTTGACTGTGGTCACATGGGCCCACTGATCAGTTCCCTTCTTCTGGGCCTCCAGAACATAGCCTGTAATTCTGCTTCCCCCATCGTGCTTTGGTTTAGTCCAAGCCAGGCTTACTGAGCTCTTCGTGATGTCAGTGGGAATAATGCTCTCTGGTGAAGTTGGTGCTTGGGATGCGCGAATTGGATCTGTAGTTTCAGCTGCCTCACCAATTCCATATTCATTCTCAGCAGACACTCTAAAGTAGTATTCACAACCTTCACCAAGTTCGCCAATCATGACTGAAGTGGTTGAGCATTTTGTAATGGCAGTAGCAAAAGCCTTGCGAGTAGATTCCCTCTTCTCAATTATGTAGTTTGTGATTTTGGCTCCACCATCAATGAGGGGCATCTCCCACTGAAGAGTAATACTTTCCTTATCAATCTTAATGGGTTTTAGGTTAAGCGGAGGGCCAGGGGAATCCAGAACTCTAACATGAATATCAGCCGTCTTCTTTCCAGCTGAATTTTCAAGGGTAAGCTCATATTTGCCTGCATCGACTCTCGAACTCTCAGGAATAATAAGCATTGTGAATGACTCAGTGCTGTCAATGACAGCTCGTGTGACGGAGCCTCCCTCTTTGGTCCAAGTAACTGTTGGTGTCGGCCGACCCTTGATTGGCACAAAAAGTCGGATGGAGCAGCCAGCTCTGACAACAAGGGTTCTTCTCAGCTCAACATCTAGCTCTAAATCAGGTTCAGCAGCACGCTCCACAATCTCAACCGATTCCTGAGTTTCAGCAGGTTCCCCTGCCCCCTTAGCGTTTACAGCACTGATTCTGAAATGGTACTTTGCGCCAGTTTCCAGCCCAGGAACAACAAACTCTGTAATCCTCAGTAGAGATGAAGGGGTGTCTTTAACCCACTCTTCTGTTCCTTCCTTTTTGTGCTCAATGACATAGCCACTCACTTCAAGGCCTCCGTTGTCCAGAGGTTTACCCCAGTTCAGAGTCGCAGTAGTCTTGGTTGTGTCAGTAACTCTTGGATTAACTGGGGGCCCCGGCACATCTAGGAGACGTAAAAGGAAGGGTTAAAATCTGAAAAGTAAGCATAGCATTTTGTATTTCATGGCCATTTTTAAAAATGTTCTAACTTACAGGCAGCAACAATTGTTTTGACAGGCATAGATGGTTCACTCGGTTCCCCGAAGCCAGCCCGGTTCTCAGCAAAAACACGGAACTCATACTCCACGCCCTCAGTGAGACCAGTGACTTCAAAGCTGAGTTCAGCTATGGATTTCTTGGATGCTCGAACCCATCGCATACCCTTCTTCTCTTTCTTCTCAACACTATAGCCCATTATGTCACTTCCTCCATCCTCAGTTGGCCTTCTCCAGTTCAAAGTGACTGAATGTCCATCAACTTTCTCAACCTCTGGTTTGGATGGCGGACCAGGGGGACCTAATGACAAAATAAACCCTTAATTAGTCTCAAGCAAATAAATCTGTTGAATACTCCCAAACACAAGAAGGAAGCATGAAAGAAAGAAATTACTAAAGGACCAAACGATAGAAGAGATGAAGAAAAAAGAGAGACATACCAAGAGAGAAAGACTAGATAGATAAGCTGAATAAAAATTATTAATTGTACGCACCATATCTGTCAACCATCTTGACAGCCTCAGAGTGAGATGGCTCACTGGCACCATACTGGTTAACAGCAGAGACTCTGAAGAAGTACTCATTGCCCTGGATGAGTTTGTGGGCCACATAGTGGCAGTCGACAACCTTCTCCTCCAGGATAGTCCAGAGGAGACGACTGGTCTCTCTTTTCTCCAGGGTGTAATATTTGATTGGAGAGCCTCCATCCTCAGTAGGAGCTGTCCAGGTAAGAGTCACCTTTTCAGATGAGATGCCACTACATTCAATGGGTCCCGGAGCACCGGGAACATCCAGAACTTTGACCTTAACAGTTTCCTCCTTCACACCGAAGGGGTTGCTTGCAGTGATAGTGTACTCTCCAGAGTCCTTCCTGCCCGCATATTTTATGGACAGAGTGGATGAAGTTGCAGTGGTTTCAATGTGAACAATGTCAGATGGTTTAAAGTATTTTCCTCCCTTTGACCAGCATGAAGTTGGTGATGGTTTGCCCAAAATGCTCGTGGCAGTAATGACAATAGTATCACCAGCTCGGACAGTGAGACCCTCCTTCACCTGGGCATCGATGATAATGGTTGGTGCCGCTGTTGGAGAAAACAAGTGTTTAGCCTGTTGTGTGGCTGGGTCTTTGGGTCTTTGATGCTCATTTAAACTAGTTTAAAATCACTCTGAAACATATGTTCATCTTACCATATTCATCTCTACAGATGATGGTATCCGTCTGCTCTGATGGTGGACTGAGGGCACCGGCAGCATTCTTTGCCCTGATCCTAAATTCATATTTGCAGCCCTCCTGCAGATCAGCCACAGTGAATGCAGGCTCCACTACATTCACATTGTTGGCTTTCACCCAGATTTTAGAGGGTAAGTCTCGTTTCTCAACGATGTATCCAGTCAGCCTGTGGCCACCATCGAACTGAGGTTCAGTCCACTGAAGGGTCACACTGCTTCTGGTGATGCTGATCACGTCCGGCTTACCGGGAGCATCTGGTAAGAAAAAGACAAAAGAATACATCACATAAGAATATCATGTTACACTCTTCATCACTCGCCTTTCTCTCTTTAAACTCACCAATGGGATCCAAGGCCACCTGAGGATCTGTGGGAGCACTCGGCCTGCCAGTGCCAGCCAAATTTATGGCCATTACTCTGAACTCGTATTCCAGACCTTCAGTGAGTCCAGTAACCTTGTGTTCCTTCATTCTTAAGGCTGCTGGGCTTGCTCTCTTCCACAACATACTGTTCCTCTCCTTGAACTCTACATGGTAGCCTGATCATTTAATAGCAGGGAGGAATACAGAATCCAAGATTAGCATATGTCTTACACACTTAAAACGAATGTTAGGCAAACAAAAGGTGAATTTAGAAAGCCTGATGTTTAAAGGGTTTGGTCAGACTTTACCTGTGATGGGAGATCCTCCAGTCTTCCTGGGGTCAGACCAGGCCAGATACGCAGAATCATGGCGCATGCTCATGATTGAAGGAGGGGCAGGTGCATCAGGGACATCTGGAAAGTGTTGTAAAGTCAGCAAAGTTATTCTTCATCTCAGCACCAAACAGAACCTTAGTAAATATGAAGAATGGTGACTCACTGAAAGGATGTTTAGCTACAACAGGTTCAGACTTGAGTCCTTCCCCAACACCATACTTGTTCTCAGCACAGACTCTGAATATGTACTCTGTGCCCTCATGGAGGCCAGTCACCCTCATGGAATTGGTCTCCACAGTGGAAGACACAGTCACCCACATGTTGGTTATGGAGTCTCTCTTTTCCAGGATGTAATTGGTAATTTCAGACCCGCCATCATCCTTAGGGGCCCCCCACCTCAGTGTAGCACCATCAGCAGTGACCTCTTTGAACTTCACTGGTCCAACAGGGATGCCAGGTTTACCCACCACCCTAAAATGAGACAAAAGCATTTGAACTTTAGCTCTTAACTCAAAAGTCAGTGTGGCGTGGATACGACTGTTTGAAAAGGGTATTTCATTGTTGAGGTGCCATGCTCAGGTGGTCATGTCGTACCTGATGAAGATGGTGGACTCTTTGGTGCCGGCACTGTTTCTCAAGGTGATGGTGTACTTAGAAGCATCAGTCCTCTGGCAGTCCCTGATCAGGAGAGTTGTGTTCACTGCAGATGACTCCGCACACACTCTGCCAGTGTCCGTCAGGTCCTCGTCATCTCCTTTCTTCCAGGAGACTTTGGGAGTTGGTTTCCCGATAATGGGGATCTTCAGGCGAACTGTGCTACCCTCTTTGGCAATGTAGCACATGTTGGGCAACTCTCTTAAGTCACAGCTTGGAGAAACTTCAGAGACAAGGTAAAAATAAGCATCATTAACTTGTTTAATTTGCTCTTTGCATGGCGGTTCATAGACATGGACACTTACTGATCTGGTCCTTGGCGACCACAGTCAGCTCCTTGGCAGAACTCTCTCCAGCGTCATTTACAGACTTGACACGGTATGTGTACTCTCTGCCCTCCACCAGGTCCTTTGCACTGTACTGCATATTCTTAGACCTCATGAGCTCTTTGTAATTATCGTCACCATTGAGGACCTCCAACACATAGCAGATGATGCGACTGCCACCATCCGTGAGAGGCTTCTTCCAGCTCAGAGTACAGGAATCCTTGGTCACCAGGATGGTCTTGAAGTCCATAACTGGTCCAGGCTCCTCTGCAAAAAAAGAAAATATGTGTAATTCAGAAGAATGCAAAAGAATGACATGTTTTCTTACTATTCAACACACCTGTTGCTCTAACTGCATCTGCTGTCTCACAGCCCTCTCCAGCACCGAGCTGATTTACTGCAGACACTCTGAAGCAGTAGGACCGTCCAGCCTCCAGGTCAGGAACCTTGAATGATTCCTTGGTGCAGTTGCTTGAGACAACAGACCAGGCTTTTCTCTCAGTGTCGCGCTTCTCCACTATGTAGTGGGTGACCTCAGAGCCACCATCGATCAGAGGAGTGTCCCAGAGAATGGAAGCACTGTCCTTGGATGTTTCCTTCACCATTAGGTTCACTGGTGGTCCAGGAGTGTCTGAGAAGGTTCAAAATCAAAACAAATATGACTGATTTGGTTGTCTGACTGGTCCACTGCACAGTGACATTAGTCTCTATTTAACACAGTTGATGTAGTTAAATGTTCATACATGTGAACACTGAAATATGCAAATCGTTTACTAACCAAGGACTTTGACAACAATGGTGTACATCTTCATGCCAGCAGAGCTTTCAAGGTTCAAAATGTATTTGCCAGCATCATATCTGTTGACTTTCTCCACCATAACCATTGTATCAACGTTGCTGGATTTGATAATGATGCCCTGGCGATCCTTGATGTTGGTGTTCATCTTTGCCCAGGTAACCTTGGGAATGGGACGACCTTTGATGGTAGCCTGCAACTTCATGGTGGAACCAGCGCATAGCTCCAGGACTTGTTTCAGGTCTGCGCTTAACTCTGCCTCAGGAGCAACTAAAGAGACAAAGACGATTGATTTTTAATGATAATTTTTTATCTATTGCAACTAAAAAAAGAACAGGAAATAAAAATAGTCCAATTTACCAATAATGTCCTTTGCAACATGCTTCCCAGGAACTTCAACTGGCTCGCCGAAGCCGACTTTGTTGACAGCCGTGATGCGACACTGGTACTCTGCCTTGTCAATGAGATTCTGGATGACATAGTTGGTGTCTTGTAGGGCCCTGGGAACGTTGCAGCGGATCCAGTCAGTGGTATCAGTCCTCTTGCATTCCACCAAGTATCCAATGATAGGGCTGCCACCATTGTTGGCGGGGGCAGACCAGGTGAGACCGATGGTGCAGTGAGTAGTGTCAGTAACACTCGGGTTCACAATTGGTCCGGGAGGAGCTGCAAGACAGCATAAGAAAAACAGTTTAGTCTGAATATCCAGATTGCAATGTTTGATATAGACTTCAGTACTCCAGTACACAGGCTTCAGACACAATAACAATGCACTCACTGATGGGATTCTGTGCGCTGACACCAGCAGACGGCTCACTGGGTTTACCAGGCCCAGCCACATTGACTGCGATGACTCTGAACTCATATTCCAATCCCTCTGTTAGGCCTGTGACTTCCAGTGTCCTCTCTGTCACTGGTTTCCTGGTCAGCTTGGCCCAGTTAATCTCCTTTGTCTCTTTCTTTTCTATCATGTAACCCAGAATGGTCGATTTTCCATCGTCGGCAGGCTCCTTCCAGCTCACAGTCATTTGGTCTTTAGTCACGTTTGTGATCACGGGGGCTTCACATGGGCCAGGAACGGCTGAAATGAATGTCAGAGGTAGGTTTTAATGCTAGAACTGTATTTCTGGTTTGAAGCTAGGAACCAGACGTGTGTGTGACTCACTGAACGGGTTCTTGGCAACGACTGGGTTGGTGATGATAGCATCTCCAACTCCCCACGTGTTCTCAGCACGGATTCTGAACTGGTACTCGCGTCCTTCAATCAACTTTTGCACATCAAACTCAAGAACATCACCCTTTATCTTGCTTGAAACCAGGGCCCAGTTAGCTCTGCTGGTCTCACGCTTGTCCACTATGTAATTGCTGATGGAGGCACCACCATCTTTTAGGGGAGGCTCCCATGTCAACTTGATAGTGGTGGCAAATACTTCAAGATATTTGGCACTTGCTGGTGGCCCAGGCACATCTAAGGAGACAGGAAGTCAGTTTTAGAGCTCATGAAAGATCGACATGTAAATTTAACTAGATGCTGAGACTTTTCAGCATGAAACGTGAAATTGCTCACCGAGCACATTGACTTCGATCTCGGCACTTTTGGAGCCACTGGCGTTCTCAGCCAACACTGTGTAGGTTCCTGAGTGCTCCTTGGTAACGGCTGTCATCTCCAGCTGGAAGTGATGCCGCTGTTGAGTGATGACCTGGCCCTCTCCTGACTTCAGGTTATCATCCGCCCTCTTCCATGTGACTTTGGGCATGGGTTTGCCAAACACCTCAGCCTCCAGGAGGACTGTAGCCCCAGCCTTGACCTTAAATCCCTTCTGCATCTTGGCATTAAGCTCCACTCTTGGAGGAACTAAAATTAAGAAGAATGAAATCATTAATTTCACAGGCCACACTTGTCAAAGACACTTGCTGGCTTAACAATCTGGTAATTGGTAACTGGGTTCTTCTTACCATTCTCAGCACAGACCAGGATTGGGTCAGTGGGTTCTGATGGTTTGCTTATGTTGACAGCAGTCTTAGCTATAACTCTGAACTGGTACTGAAGGTCTCTCTCCAGGCCAGTCACTGTGTACTCCTCCCTGGGGACATTTTGACTGCTTGTGTTACAGCGTATCCAGGCGTCTCCTGGCACTCGCGTGGCCTCAACATAGTATCCAATAATCTTGCTTCCACCATCATTCTTGGGACGTGTCCAAACCAGTGTGACAGAGTTCTTGGTGACATCCAGGACTTCAGGTTTACCTGGAGTGTCTATGACACAAAGAGACAATTGTTCAACAGGCAGCAAAGCTTGCAGGTGAAATTCCACATAGGTGTGGCGATGGCAAACTTACCAACAGGAGTTCTGGCAGTTACAAAGTCGGTTTTCTTGCTTGGTTTACCCTGGCCAGCACGGTTTATGGCAGACACTCTGAAGGTGTATTCCAGGCCCTCGATGAGGCCAGCACAGGGGTACTCAGTGGAGCGGACGACAGTGTCGTTGGCCTTAACCCACAGGAGGCTGTTCCTCTCCTTACGCTCGATGTAGTAGCCTGTGATGGGGCTGCCGCCGTCACTCTCAGGAATATCCCAGCCAACGAACATGCAGTCTTTGTTGGTCTTGTTGACCCGACAGTTGAGGGGCTCGCTGGGAACGTCTAGTGACAACATAGAATGGAATTAATGTTTGACAATAATCTGCACTCATGCAGCTGATAATCAGAATCAGAAAAGCTTTTATCGTCATTGAACCAGCGACCCGGAACAAGATCACATTTCAGTACAACCCGTTGATCAGTTGGTTTTCAAAGAATAACTGGGGTCTGTATTTTGGCAAAAAATGAATAAACTCACCAAAGGGGAACTTGGCCACCATCCTGTCAGACGGGGTGGGGTCTGACACACCATAGCGGTTCTCAGCCCGAATACGAAACACATATTCCTTCCCAGGAATAAGCTTTCCCAACCTGCAACCGGTCTTTGAGCAAGAGGACAGGGCTGTCACCCAGTCACCCCTACTCACATCACATTTCTCAACCACATAGTTGGTGATATTGCTGCCCCCATCCTCCAGGGGTTTATTCCAGGACAGAGAGCAAGCATCAGAGTCAATGTCACTGATCTCCACAGGGCCTTCCGGAGGACCAGGGATATCTGAAATACATAGGAAATTCAGCTGAGTCATGCTCTTTACCACATTTGTTCTCAAAGTGACGAACTTAAAATAGCTGTACGTGAGACAAACCTCTGATGATAACTTTCAAAGCCTGGGACACCTTTGCAGAGTTGTTCTCAGCCACAAGGCTGTAATCTCCACTGTCAGTCCTTGACACATCTTTGATGATAAGGACACACAGGTTTCCTGACTTATGCACAGCCAGACGACTAGATGGGACGACCCCATCCTCACCACGCATCCATTTGCAGGTGGGGGCAGGTTTTCCTGAAACCACTGCCTCCACTCTGAGCTTGGCTCCAGCTTTAGCACTTGCTGTCTCAGGCATAACAATCTTTGGCTCCACTGTGGGTCAGGACATAAAAGTTTGGCTCATTACATTTAAAGGATTATTAAGCATAAAAGTCATATTAAAGCAATAATAATCCTGATTATGTGATGAGTGGACTGAACTATGGTAGATTTTTTATCAAACAGATATGCATACCCATCTGTTCCTTGATCTCAGTCGGTTCTCTGGTCTCGGTGAATGAGCTCAGACCCATAATGTTCTTTGCAGCAACTCTAAACTTGTACCTCTTGCCTTCTTTCAGCCCACTGATACTGATCGTTAACCCTTTAACTGTTGTGTAGGTGTTCCATTCTTCCTTCACTGGTTCTGCCTCATCTTCCTCCTCTACAACAGGGGGTGCTGGAGGAGGTGGAGGAGCTTCCTCTCCTTCAGGTACCTGTGATTAGTGGTAGATAAAGATTGAATCTTTGACTTTTACTTATGTACACTAAGAATATTTGCAAGTTTCGATGCTTTTGAATAAACAGTGAGGACAGTCAGTTTTGTGACAAACCTCTACAGGTGCTGGTGGCTCTGGAGGAGGTTTGACTTCAATGTATTCAATGACATAGCCATCAATCTTGGCCCCGCCATCTCTTTCAGGCTTCACCCAGCCAACCATGGCACTATTCTTAGTTATTTCCAGGACTTCAATCCTCTGACAAGGATCTGGCTTACCTAGAATGGAATTAGAGTAAGTGTACTGAGCTGAAACACCCCTGTGATCTGGAGCAAAGATGGGGAAACTATACTATTTTGATGGTTATTAGAGATTTTACTTACTGACAGGATCAGAAGCAAGGTATGAAGTGGGTGTCACCTTTGGAACTCCAGAACCATACTCATTGACAGCAGTAACTCTGAAGTAGTACTCAGTTCCAGGCACCAGCCCGCTGACTTTGAAGGGAATCTTATCTGGCTCAACTTCAGCCTTGACGGTTGCCCATGTCTTCCGGTCAATCTCTCGCTTTTCAACTATGTATTGTGTGACCTCGCTGCCACCATTGTTTTCTGGGGGACTCCAGGACAGCACAGCGGATGTTTGCTTGATGTCTGTAGCTTCCAGATTCATGACAGGTCCAGGTGTGTCTGTTTGGGAAAATAAATCAAACTTTTAAAAAAATCTTTTCATATTTTTGGGGAGATTTAATTGATAAACTGCCTCATGGTGGATTTCCACAAAAAAACTAGGACTCACCCAGAACCTTAACAGTGACAAACACGGCCTTCTCTCCTGCAGGGCTCTGCAGAGTCAGGCAATATTTGCCTGAATCATCACGGGTGCTGTCAGGTATGACCAAGAAGGTCATAGTGTCGATGAGGTCCACTTTACCCTTCCTGACCACATTATCGATACCCATCCTCCTCCAGGTGACCGTGGGAGGTGGTCTACCTCTGATGGTGGCACACAGTCTAATGGGACATCCGGCTCTAACCGTGAGTCCCTGCTTCAGGTTAGCATCCAAATCAATGTCTGGGGCCTCTGTTGGAGGAAACTCAGTGTTATGACATCACAATCACACATTTGAAAGTCGGTCCATATTGTCCACTGACAAAGTCTATATTTTTAAGTCTTTGTCTATCCTTACCTAGTATATCCCTTGGGATCACAGCCTCCTCACAGTTGCACGGCGGACTCATGCCCACCTGGTTCTGAGCTGACACTCTGAATTCATACACAAGATTCTCATCCAGACTTGTGACTGTGAACTCACAGACCACTAGCTGAGCTGCCACATTGCATCTCTTCCAGCTATCCTCTCCTTTCTTGCTACTTCCCTGGGCTCTCATCTCCACCACATAGCCAATGAGAGGAACTCCTCCCTCAAACGCAGGCTTGGTCCAGTTCAGGGTGACCGAGGATTTGCTGCTGTCCACAACTTTCAAGTTAGTAGGAGGTCCAGGAGGCTCTGTAAGAAAACAAACGAATATGTAAAGGAATGGGCTTTCTGGCTTTAAATAATACTCTGGATATTAGACATTATCGTTATTACATACCAACTGCATCCTTTGCAGTGATGGCACGAGAGGCCTTGCTTGGATTTCCAGTGCCAATTTCGTTCACAGCCTTGACTCTGTACTGATATTCATGAAGAGGCAAAAGTCCTGTGACTGTAAAGCGAGTTGCAGGGATTGGATCCTTAATGACAGGAGACCATCTTATGGCATGCTCTTCCCTCTTCTCCAACAGATAACCTGTGATTGGCTTTCCGCCATCTTTCTCTGGCTCTGACCACTGAACAGTCATCTCCTCCTTGCCAACCTTGATGACTTCTGGTGCTTCGGGGGCATCAGGTACATTGAACTGTGTGCCAGCAACAATAGCCTCACTCTCAACTGCAGGGCCAGGGCCCATTTTGTTCTCTGCTCGAACTCTGAAGACATACTCATTTCCCTCAATAAGACGTGTTACGTTGGCTTTGTTGGTGATGACAGCATTAGAATGGACTGACCAAACTCCTCTCTTGGTCTCACATTTTTCAATGATGTAGTTGTAGATCTCACAGCCACCATCATCCTCAGGAACTTCCCAGGCCAAATGGCACCTGTCAGTGGTGATACCGGACACCTTGAGGTCCCTGATTGGGCCAGGTCTGTCCAAGACATTGACCTTAGCATCAGCAGAACAGGAACCTGCGCTGTTGGAGGCAGTGACAACGTATTTGCCACTGTCGGTGCGTCTGGCACCAGTAATCAGCAGTTTAGAGAAGTCGGCTCCAGATTCTATTTGAAGCTTGGGACCCTTCTTAATCTCTTCAGTGCTTTCATCCTTGGTCCATTTGACATCAGGCTGAGGTTTGCCCTTCACTGTTGCTTCAATACCAATGGAGTCTCCTGCCTTTACAACCAGGGTTCCATCCAGTTTAATCTTGATCTCAGGCACCACAAGCTGCTCTTTGACCAACACTTCACCTGTGGTAACCCAGTTACTCTCTCCTCCCTCATTCTTAGTCTGAACTCTGAACTGGTAGACCTGATTTTCAACACATCTGTCTGCCATGAAATAAGTCTCCTTGATGGCACCCTTGTGAACCCTCTCCCATTCCTCAGCCTCTTTTGGTTTCTTTTCAACGTGATAAGCAATGTTACGGCTTCCACCATCATAATCTGGTTTCTTCCACTTGAGGAAGCAGAATGTCTTGCCAATTTCAGAGATATGGAAGTCAATGGGTTCACCTGGTTTTTCAATAGGATCAACTGCTAGAACAGGCGTCTTGGTTTCAATGGTTGGACCGGCGCCAATCTTGTTCTCTGCGCTGACTCTGAAGAAATACTCACAACCCTCAGTAAGAGGAGCTTTAATCAGGCGCTTGGTCCAGTCATTGGAGACCACTGTCCAACCTCTTTGGCTTGGCTGGCGACACTCAATGATGTACTGAGTGATCTCAGTGCCGCCGTTGTCCTCAGGGTTCTCCCAGGACACCATGCAGGATTTCTTAGTTGCATAGGCAACCTTTAGGTTCTGGCACGGCCCGGGCGTGTCCAGGACATTTACCAGAATGGTAGCCTGTGCCTGTCCGCTGCTGTTCTTGGCCACAATGGCATATTTTCCATAATCTGCCCTGACAGCTTCATTGATTACCAGTTCACAGAGAGGATAGTTGTTGTTCATATCTGTTCGCTTATCCCGGGACAAAGCTCTGGCATCCTTGGTCCATGTGATCTCTGGATCAGGTCTACCTTTTACTCTGGTAATCAAACTGATAATCTGACCAGCTCTGACTGTAAGAGAGTCGCGGCACGACACGTCAACGACCACCTCCGGTGGAACAAGGATGTCCTTTGCCAAGATGGTCTCTGCCAGCTCCCTTGGCTCGCTGTCCCCAATTTTGTTAGTGGCTCTGATGCGTAATCTGTACTCCATTCCTTCAATGAGGCCTGGAACCCTGTAGGCACACATCTTGATAAGGTCCTTATTGATTCTGTCCCACTGAGCAGATCCAGATTTTTGAGCCTCAACCACATAGCCCAGAATAGGACTGCCACCGTCCCTTGTAGGCTTGGTCCAGCAGATGTCAGCATAGGATTTACTCCAATCCTTCAGTTTAGGATTACCAGGAGGTCCTGGTTTAGTTAAGGCCCGAGTGGCCTTAACTGGGTCAGAGGTGAGAGAAGGACCGCTGATGCCGGCAACGTTCTCGGCAAACACTCTGAACTCATAGCTGTTGCCTTCAAATAGACCAGAGACTCTGTATCTCAGGTCCAACACTGGAGTTTTGTTGACACGGATCCATTTGCCTGTCATTTCCCTGCGCTCAATCACATATCCGCTGATGGGGCTGCCTCCATCATAGTCAGGAAGGGTCCACTCCACTGTCACGGCATTCTCGGTGATATCAGAACACTCAGGAGGACCAGGTGGACCGGGAGGGTTGAACATGTGCTTGGCAATTGTAGGTGGACTCTCAAGACCTGCTCCTATACCAATTTTGTTCTCTGCACGTACACGAACTATATACTCCCGTCCCTTCTCCAACCTTGATACTTTGGCCTTCGTGCTGGTGCCACTGGAGCTAACAACAGACCAGGGCTCCCAAGGCTTCTTCACATCTTTTTTCTCCACTACATAGTTGGTAACAGGTGTGCCACCATCATCTTTTGGGGCTCTCCACTGGATCATCATGTATTCAGGGGTGACCTCTAAGATATTGATAGGTCCGATGGGTGGACCTGGTAGATCCAACACAGTCACATGGAGGGCAACAGTTTTGCTGCCTGCTGGATTGGCCACTGTCAGGATGTATTCTCCAGTGTCTCCTCTCTGGCACTCAGGGATACTGAGGATGGTTGAGGATCCAGCAGACTCAATGTGGTATCGGCCCTCTGATATGATCTCGTTGCCATCACTCATCCACTTGGCCGTGGGAAGAGGGATTCCAGTCATCTTTGCAGGCAGAGTAATGGTACTGCCAGCTTTGAGTACAAGGCCCTCAATAAGCTTCACATCAACTTCAATAGCAGGTGGCACTGAAAGATAACAAATTCACAACAATGATGTGAAATCCTCAAGCTCCACATGAGACAATAACCTGTGACAGACAAACACCCTCAAAAATAAAGTTTCTTACATGTTTTCTCCTGGCAGGTGACAGGGACACTGGTGTCAGGGCGACTCACGCCTATGGCGTTCTGAGATTTGACTCTGAAGCGGTAGGTTTTTCCCTCCTCCAGACCTGTGACATGGGCGTGATTATTGCTCACTGTTTTGAAGCTGACCCAGTCAGTCTGGCCATCCTCCTGGTGCTCCACTATGAACCCTGTGATTTCACTTCCACCCGTGCGATCAGGCCATTCCCAGGCCAGCCACACCTCAGTCTTCTCTGCATCAGTGTGGTGCAGGTTCTTGGGAGGGCCAGGAGGATCTGAAAGGTTTCCACAGAACCACAAATTATATATGACTTCAAATGTGTGCATTTTCTCGCAATAACAATGTAACGGAAATACTGACAAATCGTACAGACAATTAAATTATACGGGATAGTGCCTCCTAACTTTGACTCACATAGAGGATCGATAGCCTTGATTGGTGTCTTAGTAACAACAAAGTCACTTCTGCCAAACTGGTTCTCTGCAGCCACTCTGAACATGTACTGGATTCCTTCCATCAGGTACATGGCCATCAGACTCAGCTTCTTATTGGCTGGAGACACAGGCACCCACTGCTCTGCAGCCACGTCCTTCTTTTGCACAACGTAGTGGGAGATGACCGCGCCCCCGTTGTCTTCTGGGACCTTCCATGTCAGATAGGCAGACTCACTGGTCACCTCAGAGATCACCAAGTCTCTCGGGGGGGAAGGCTTGTCTGTTTGAGACAAAAGTGTGTTCATCTGTTTTGTGATATTCTGATCCTGAATCTGTGGCTAATGTGTGTTGGCGTTTTTTTTTACTTACTCAGCACAAGCACCGCAACTGTTGCAGATTTCTTTCCAGCAGAATTCTCTGCAGTTATGGTGAAGTTGCCAGAATCTGCACGGGTGCATTTAGGGATGAAGACTTTGCTGCCGCTAGCAGTAACAGCAACAGTGATGTGAGTGGGAACATCTCCATCGTTCTTTTTCCAGGTGATGGTTGGCGTTGGCACCCCCTTAATGGTAGCGCTCAGGGTTATGTCGGTACCCAGCATGGCCAGGTGGTCGCGGGCCATGTTGGCATCCAGCAGCAACTCTGGCTCCTCTGTGGAAATGTGTAGAAATGAGAAGAGATTAATCAAACTGGAGTTAAAACTAGTTCAGTTAACTAACTAAATCATCCTGACAAAGGGTGCTACAATTTGATGCCCATCCATATATCCATTATCTATTCTTCTCATTCCTAATAGGGTTGTGGGAGGGCGAGAGTCGGGGTCCCCACATTAACTCCATGGGGCAATTTAAAGTGTTCAGTTAACCAAACATTCATATTTTGAACAGTTGGAGGAGGCCAGAGTCCCCAGAGGGGACCCGAACCCGAACATACAGAAAAGGCAGTTCTCAGTATTTATGAAATGTTACTTGAGGCCTCAGACATTACACAGAGGTCTTACATCCGGTCAACCTACCGAGTCTGTCGTGGACTTTGACGTTCTGTTTGACGTAGGCGGGGTCCGACCGGCCGGCAGCATTGACAGTAAAGATCCTGAAGATGTACTCTTCCCCATCGCCCAGGCCTGTCACCACATAGTGGAGGTCCGGACACTGCTCAGGGGTCTCGTTGGCCTGAACCCATTCCACAGCACCAGGCTTCTGGTACTCAACGATGTAGCCGAAAATTCGTCCTTTTCCGTCGTGGCGTGGCATCTGCCACTTGAGACTGACGGAGTCTTTGGTCTTATCATAGGCCTCTGGGGTAACTGGAGGGCTAGGGCGCACTGTGGGACAGGTACAATGTTTAGACAAAAACAATTAGTTATTTTCAAAAACAGGGCTGATATTTATTGCAGTGGAAATGCAGAAGACTGTCTTTGGAAGTTAAATGAAGACATTAGCATGAAGCCGAGAGGCGGCAGGACTGTGTGTCACACTGACCTATTGGGTCTTTGGCGAGGATTGGTTTGGAGGGAACACTGGGATCTCCAGTTCCAAGCTCATTCTCAGCCATAACCCTGAACTCATACTGGCAGCCCTCCACCAAGTCCTGGACTCGGTACTGAGTGGCTGGGTACAGCGGGTCTCTGGTGACTCTGGACCACCTCTTTGCCCCGGGTTCCTTCTTCTCCAAGATGTAGTTTGTGATGGGCTTCCCGCCATCGCGAGGCCGGGTCCACAGCACCAGAGCATTAGTGGCGTACACCTCTCTGACGGTCGGCATCTCAGGGGCCTCAGGGACTCCTTTATCACAGATGAGAGGGAAAAAAAGGAAATTAGATTAAAGTTTTAGAAGGCTGTCATTTCTCCATTTGACTCAATAATTCTGTCTGTGGATGCTGAACAAGCTTTTTGAAATATCTCTGTAGGTTTCTTAGTTACTCCCTACTTGGGAAGTGGGTTGAGTCTCTGAGGTGCTCTGGTAACCAAATCACCACTGAAAATAATCAATGAAACGCCAAACATAAAAAATGGTTGGAGGTACGTACTGAAGAGATCTTTAGCTTTCATCTCCTCCGACTCCAGAGGGTCGCTGATGCCATACATGTTCTCAGCAGAGATTCTCATGATGTACTCCCTGCCTTCCGTCAGTTTGGGGATCTGAAGAAAGAGACAACATGTTAACTTCTGTCTCCTCCAGTAATCTTCCCTCCATCAGACCTGAAGTCCTCGACATCGTGACCTTTGACTGCACAGATACCTTGCATGTGGTCTTGGTTGTGGCAGATGTTACTGTGGTCCACAGATCTCTGTTGGTGTCTCTTTTCTCGATGATGTAGTTAGAAACATCAACTCCACCGCTATCAAGAGGAGGCTTCCAGGAGATCACCATGAACTCTCTGTGCACCTCATCAAACACTACCGGACCCACTGGTGGAGTTGGGCGATCTGCAGGGAAAAGAAGACACAGGAGGATGAAGCACCTATCCTGGGAATAGAATGAATGTTGCAGGTCTTCTGTTTGCTTATTTTGTGAACTGAGCACATGGTGGAAACATTAATCTGATCCGTAGAGTCTGATTTCAGAAGCCTGTAATCAGCATGAAAGCCACAAAGCTATTTCTTCAGTATTTCTGGTTGAATTTGCTTGTGTCAGCTCCAGATTTGGGTTTCATACCGACGACGGTGACGTTGCAGATTCCCTTCCTGGACCCAGTGCTGTTCTCCACGACCACCACGTATTTGCCACTGTGCTCTCGCTTTGCCTTCATCAGGCCCAGAGACATGGTGGTGAGCGTGTTCTTGAACATGACGTGTTTGTCGGCCTTCAGCTCCTCGTCGTCCCGGTACCAGGTGATGGACGGTGCCGGTTTGCCGGTGTATCGGCCCTGCAGCAGGCAGCTCTCTCCCACACGGATGATGATCTTATCACGGAAGTCCAACTCAATGGTTGGTGGTTCTGCAGCAATAAAAAGTTAAATCACATAACCAAATGTTCTTTTTTTTTATCCCAGCGAACCTAAGAAACCGCTTTAGAGGTACAGAGACTGTGACTCTGTCACTCTCATTCAGACCTTTATAAGGTGCTGCTCAGATGTCAGATTAACTCTGAAGTAAATCTTAGGAAACACCTTACCCAGTTCATCCTTGCAGGTGATTGGCTTGGTGCTGAATGAAGGTTTGCCTGCTCCGATCTCATTGACGGCAGCCACCCTTAACTCGTAGGTGTCGCCCTCCCTTAGGCCATCATAAGTGAACCTCCTGTCCATCAGCTTCTCCTTCGTGAGTCTGCTGAACTTGTCTTTGCCGATCATACGCGCCTCAAGGATGTACATGGTGATTTCTGAGCCGCCATCAAATTTGGGTGCTTTCCAGGTGACACTGATGGAATCTTTGGTGACCTTTGTGACTTCTATTTCCTCTGGGCGGTCTGGCACACCTTCAGGAAAACAAAACACATCAGACATCTACTCATCTGAGGGTAAAACCTGCTGAACGCTTTTTAAGAATGAATGTATTCTTAGGATTTAATGATTTTCCAGCAGTGATGATGGAAATCAGCTCCCAGATGCCCCAGTGTTTGATTCATCAGACTTACTAATTGGTTCCTTAATGATGATCTCTGCTGGAGTCTCCATGAAGGGACCCAGTCCAATGGCGTTCTCAGCAGCCACTCTGAAGAAGTAGGCCTTTCCAGTGGTGAGGCCGTGAGCCACAGCGTTCTGTCTGCTGGCCGTGAAGGAGACCGAGGTCCAAGCTTTGCGCTCAGCCTCGCGTTTCTCAATGATGTAGTTGCTGATGGGAGATCCACCGTCATTCTCTGGGAAGAACCAGTTAAGCTTGCAGGAGTCCACGCTCAGGTTTTCAGCCATGAAGGGGATGCCGACAGGTCCAGGGACATCTGAGGAGGACAGAACAAAAAGAAATGACACAGATCCAACTTTTCCACTGTGGAGGACAGAATCCAATTCAATTCAATTCAATTTTATTTATATAGCGCCACATCACAACAACAGTTGTTTCACAGCGCTTTCCAAACAGAGCAGAACAAAAAGAAATGACACAGATCCAACTTTTCCACTGTGGAAACTCCATTGTGGAGTAAGAAAGGTTTCTCACCCAGAACCTCCACTGTGATGTTCTTGGTCTTCTCCCCGCCGGCGTTCTTGGCGGTCAGCGTGTAGACGCCGAGGTGTCTCCGGGCACAGGGTTTAATGACGAGAGAGGAGCTGATGGCTGTGGTTTCCACTGTGGCGTCCGGGGGCAACGCGGCCTCGTCTCTGCTCCAGGTCACTTCTGGCGCCGGCCTGCCCGAAACGTAGGCGATGATCCGGATCACCCCACCAGCGTGCACCACCATCCTCTCCTTCACTGACGCGTCCAGGTCGACTTCAGGGGCCACTGGAAGGATCACATAGGCGTTACTCCTCGCTGACTTTCACATTTCACTTCTGACTGACGGGAATAGTCCTTCTATAGGTTCAACTCACTGGTTCTGTCGGTGACCTCCAGCACCTCGGGGACCTCGCCTGGCTCTCCTTTACCAACAGCATTGAAGGCGATTACCCTGAACCTGTACTTGCCACCCGTCTTCAGGCCAGTGATCACAAACCGGGTGCCTCTGATTTCAGTGTCCTTGGCCTAAAAAACACCAACATTGCTTTTAATTCCCGCCTATGCACAGATGCATCACTCAGGCCTTTATGAGAGCAGGTCAGGGGGCACGTCTCACCTTGACCCAGGCCTCAGTTCCCTCCTCCTTGTACTCCACCCAATAGCCAATGATCTTTGAGCCTCCGTCCTTCAAAGGTGGGATCCAGTCCAGGTCTACTGTGGACTTTGTCCAATCAGAAACCTTCGGGGTTGGTGGAGAAGGTGGGGCTTCACACAAAGAAAGACAGTTAGTTAACATTTCTCCCTGACAGCTTAAGCCACAAAATTCTCTATTTTCCTGAATGCCACTTACAGATTGGGTCTCTGGCAAAGACAGGGTCTGTGGGGGGGCTGGGAAGTCCAGGCCCTGCGGCATTGATGGCAGACACTCTGAATAAGTACTGCGATCCTTCAATGAGTCCGCTGACCACGAAGGACTCTCCCAGGCCCATGGGCCGGATTGGGTCCCGGCTCACGCGGGCCCAGCGTTTGCCGGTGGTCTCTTTGCGCTCCAGCCAGTAACCGGTGATCGGGGCCCCGCCGTCGTCCTCGGGCTCCTCCCAGTTCACCGTCATGGAGTCCATGGTGACGTTGGTCACCGTGGGCTTCTCACACTGACCGGGCGCGGCTGTGGGAGCACACAGGGATCAGAGTCTGCTGCCGGCATCCTAGTGCAGTGTTTTTCAACCTTTTTTGAGCCAAGGTACAGTTTTTCATTGAAAAAATCTCGAGGCACACCACCAACCAAAAATGTTAAACAAATCTGTATCCGCCTATAGTAACACTATAGTTATTCTTATCTTATTCTTATCTTATCTTAAGTGTCTTGAATAGGAATCAAATAAACACAAAAATGTATTTTTATCATATTTTATATTTCTTCTTTCAAATTGCTCTTAACATGTCCACTTCAATATACAAAATTAAATACAAAATCTAGTCATAAGGAATTATTACACGATTACTCCACCAGTCACTAGAACAGCACACACTCAAAAATGGCATATTATTTGCAGAAAATTAATTCCTTATCAAAAAATCTTTTTAGACCAATGAGGTGAAATAGGATGATTTTCTACACCTGACCATCACTAACGGCACACTAGTGTACCGAGGACCAGGGGTTGAAAAACACTGTCCTAGTGAACTCTGTTCTGTCTGAAACTGGACTAAACTGATTAGGAAATTATGGAACTACTGGATCCATTTTGTGAGGGAAATCAATATACTATGTACAATACATTTTTATCACTTCTCTCTGGTGACTATTTTGAAGGTTCTTTTTCTTTCTCATGAGACTCTTTCCTCATTCTAGGATTCAGAGAAAGTCTTCTCATACTTTTTTTTCTCTTCATGTTTTGTCTTGAAGATTGTTTGGTACAGATACAGGTTTCTCTATGATGGAGACAGACTTTACCCCGAATCTCTCAGACTCAGAGGGCTATAAAATGCATTGGGATTTAGTTTTACTTTAGAGCTACTTAGAGATACGTTTGAGCATGGTGGTGGCTCTCAATTCATGATGTTTTTTTTCCTTTAACACATTTTTTCTATTTGTAACTCACTTGAACGGGCTAAGTTTTAGAATAGAATTTCCACGACAATCTCATCTGGACTAAAAAAGCAAGAAGAACCTGCCAGGTCTAAAGCTGAAGCAATGGAGGAATATTTTCATCGTAAACTTACTGTACAGGTTCCGGGCGACCTCGGGCTCACTGTCCAGGGGTTCTCCGACTCCGTACTTGTTCTGCGCCATGATGCGGAACACATATTCATGGCCCTCCATAAGGCTCTCCACCGTCCAGATCCGGTCTTTGGGCTCATTGGTTACGGGCACCCAGGTCTTCCTGTTGGCCACCCGCCTCCAGATCACGTAGTTGGTGACTTTGGAGCCGCCGTCGTCCTTTGGTGGCAGCCAGGAGAGCGTAATCTTCTGAGCTCCGATTTCCTCAAACTTAATGGGAGCAGACGGAGGACCAGGACGGCCTGCGAGCACAAAAAGGTTGTTCAGAAAATCAGAAGTCCTGGAGCTCAATTCCTGCTAGAGCCAAGCAGCCAGCATTTTCCAGCAGATTTAACTGAACCATAAATGTTGTTCACGATCAGATAGAAAACTGTTGGATGTGGGTTGGAACTGAATGTGAAACTTCTTTTTGAAGATGATCTTCAAACACAATGGATTGTCGTCTAGCAGAGCCTTCACCACGCTTAAGACAATCCAGACTGTTTAATGTGTCGTTCCAAGATGGTGGAACCACCTACCAAGCTCCACAAGAACAGCAGAGTCCCTGTCTGTCTTCAAGAAACTCTTGAAGACCCCCCTCTTCAAAGAGCATCTCCTATCCTAACCCTAACCGGTACCTCTACCCCCCACAGCTCCTATCCTAACCCTAACCC